AGCCGAAACATCCACCCTAATAACATGATCTGTATGGACTATAAGTCATTCTACCTCGGCTCCACAATAACCTCAATAAATGATCAACTAACAGAGATAGACCAGCGAATAACAAGTGCGAACAGATCTTTCTTCTCTCTTTCAAAGGTACTGAAATCCAGAAAAATCTCCAGAAATCTCAAAATAAGGGTGTACACCGCCGTGATTAAGCCAGTTCTGCTGTACGGTTGTGAAACCTGGGCTCTAACCGGCACACTAGAAGCCAGAATTGAGAGATTCGAAAGAAAAGTTCTACGTAGGATAACAGGACCTATATGGGACCAGAACCTTGACACATGGAGGAGAAGGAACAATAAAGAACTGCTGAAAGAAACGGGTCAGTCAATATCTCATGACATGAAGGCAAGGAGGTTAAGATGGGCAGGGCATGTAGCTCGTAGCAATCCATCAGGACGCCTTTACACGACAATGAATGCCAGAGTAGTAGGCAAGAGACCACGTGGAAGGCCAAAAACCAGATGGATAGATAGGATAAACAAAGATACGGCTGAGCTTCATGCCGCAAACTGGAAAGCAGTAGCCCAACATAGGCAGAGGTGGAGAAGACTGGTTCAGGTGGCCAAAGATCTACAAGGTCTGTAGAGCCAACCGAACCGGTACATTTTTTGTTTTAGCCTGATTTCTTCCATCATATCTCTCATGGATGGTTTTAAACGATCCAATACTGTAGCAAACTTCTGCCAATGAACAGAAGATTTGGCTGAGATTGGATTAAAGCATTCAAATTATACCCTATGTGTAAGCATATCAAGTTAAGTAATGTTAACAACTCAAAAAGCTCTTTAAAGCTCGAAGTGTTCTGTTTGCTTTAAAAAAAAACAGCCGATCACGAAATAGACCGGCTTATTCACGAAGCAGTAATAGAAAAAGTGGACCCATTAAAGACAATGGTAGAATCGGCATCGCCAGTAGTTTTTGTGCCAAAAGCGGATGGAGCAGTGAGGTTATGTGGTGATTTTAGAGTTACCATTAATCCTCATATGCTTTTGAATCCCCACGCCTTCCCGACATTTGAGGAAATAGTTCACAAACTTAGCAGGTTTCAAGAGTTTTCCGTTATTGACCTCAAAGACCCTTATTTGCAGATAGAAATAAGCGAAGAGTAAAAAAAAATATCTTGTTATTGCAACAAATCAAGGATATTTGACGTACAAAAGAATGCAGTTCGGTATAAGTGCGGCTCCATCAATATTTCAAGGATATATGGATAACATTTTGCAAGGCATGGAAGGAGTAGCGTGGATTTTAGACGACATAGCCACAGGAGGCAAATCTCGAGAAGAACATTTACATCGCCTTAATCTGGTTTTAGAAAAGTTGAAATCGGTTTGGTTGAAAACTCACCCAAATAAAGTAAGGCTGTTCAAAAAAGAAATTAAATACCTTGGCCACAGAATCAACAGTAACGGGATTCAACCGTCTCATGAAGGGATTGCAGCTCTAAATGAAATAACATCTCCAAAGAATATTAAAGAACTGCGTTCTCTATTTGGCTCTCTAGGTTACTATTCAAGATTGATTTCGGATTTGTAAGAGAGATGTGCTCCTCTGCACAGATTATTACAGAAGGGGTCAGAGTGGAATTGGGCATCAGAGGAAGAACAAATTATTTCGAGCATTAAAGACAGCATTACTGCAGATAAAACATAGGTACATTATGACGAAATATTACCATTAATACTATCAACTGACGCTTCAAAAAAGGGGCATTGTTACAACATAGATACCCCGATGGAACACTTAGACCAATCAGCTAACTCTAGATCTCTTAGCAAGAGTGAACAAAACTTTCACACCACTGATCGTGATGGTTTGGCAATAATGTTTGGGGTTAATAAGTTTTAGGATTATTTGGTTGGGCGACATTTTACATTACAAACAGATCATAAGGCACTGCTAAGAATATTTGGAAACAAAAAAGAATTGTCAAAAATAGCAGCATCCAGATTGATAAGATGGAGTGTTTTACTCAGTAGCTTTAACTACACGATTGAGTACAAGACTGGGAAAGAAATGGAACCCGTGGATGCTCTTTCGAGACTCCCATTAACGACTACAGAAGCTTCTTTTTTAGAAGTGGGAAGTAATAATAGTATTAGTAAAATAGGAAAAGTCGTCCGAGAAGAATGCTAGTTATCTAAGATCATCAAAAAGAAGGAACTCTGGAAAGACAAAGCGATAAATAAGGTATTAAAGTATATAGAAAGTGGATGATATCCTCTGTGACTTTTCTTTGTTCTTGGGCTAACTCAATAATAAGAGCGGATTTTTAAATTTCTTTTAGGCTTGCATTTTCCTCTGGATGACGGCAAAAAAGCTCCTCCTGTGTGGAGGGATTTTTCAATCCTAACAAAAATTGATCATGTAATCGTTCTTCCAGATTATTTCCAAATTTGCAATCTTTTGCTGCCGATCGCAATTTCATTAAAAATGATGCTATTGTCTGATTTTTGTCACGGAATAATTGCCCAAATTTTATTCTTTCTGCCCGATAACTTGTAGTCGGTTTTAGATATGTATCTAAAAATGGTTTTATTTCATAATAAGGCAATTGAGTAATTTTTGTAGGATAGAAATAATCCACCACCAGTTTATATAGCTCTGCTCCCATACATTTTAAGAATAAATTGCGTCATAACTTATCTGTGATTTCGTCGTTACCATTTATATTTTTAATTTCGAATTCCAGTTCAAAACAGTCTATATAATATTCCCATATTTCTGAATTATTATAAAGAGGAAACTTCAATGTACTTACTTGTTCTTCTATATCATATTTACTTCCAGTTAACCTGTTTTCCTTGGTATCCCTGGATGAGTTAATGAACACAGAAAAATTAACTTCCTCATCCAACCCCTTGTCTGTTTTAGAGTTTCGTTTTTTCTGCTTGTTCACCATCGTCGCCACATGTAATGATTGTGTATAGACAAAAAGAAAGATTGAGTAAGTTTCAAATAAATCAATCTATATATTTTCACCATGTACAACATCGCGTGTTTTTACATTAACATTTAACAATAATAATAATCCATACTACAGCCCGCCGCCACAAAAATTCACATAAATATGAATCGAGATGTTGCCTCGCAGTTCCTTGATGTTTCTTATTTCTCCACTTAGCTGAGCCCCATAAACGTTCTATATGTTGAGTGTGGACCCCAATTGATGGATCAACAAAGTTATATCAGTGATTCACCTCCAAATGATGGTAGTTTACTTCATTCAGTTGTTGGGTGTTGTATCTTTTCCAAAAGTCAGAATAAATGGTGGTTCTCTCTTCTATATTATTTTTAATACATTCTAATAAAGTTCTTGCCTTTCTGTCCTTTATTTTTACAATGAAACACTCGCCTGTTTCTCGACAATCATCCATTGTTCAGGGAGAACTCTCCCTACATGATTTTTTCTTTTAGAAAAAATACTCTCGTCTACTTTAACGACTTTCCCAGGCCCTCCAATTTTCTTAGTTGACCTGTATAACATGTTATGGGCACAAAACTCTCTTAAAAATTTGTTCCACATTATGATACACTGTTCGATAGTTTCAGCTGCTCTTTGCCCCACTGTATTGTTGTCAAATTATGAGACAACCCATAAATTAAATTTAAAGCTATCGAAAAGACAGCCTTCGACCTCTCTAACCACGTTTCTTTCCTTATAGATATGTTTTTCTTACAAGTCCTTCGTCTTCCTGTTGAACTTCATTTCATGACCTTCATCACAATATTTCACCTTTGCAATTATCCCGCCGTCTTGAAAATATTTGATATTCTCTTCTTCTGAAGACGGCAATTCCCACAATGTAATGACATCCATTTCAACCATAAACAATCGAACAAAAATAACCAATGCAATAACGCAACAGCTTACACGAGTTAAAAAGGCAGGTTATGTGACGTAACATAAGCAATATTGCAACAGCTTACACGAGATTAAAAGGCAGGTTATGTGACGTGACATAAGATAAGAAGGTGACATAAGATAAGATAAGAAGGGGTGTTTACTGCGGACCAGACCGTTCACAAGAACCTAAAATTCAAATGTTACATAATATAAAACTGCATAAGAAATAAATTTCATTTTTTTTAGGGGGAGGAAATGACGTCACTGCCCTGGGGTGCCGGTTGTTTAAGGCTAGCCTGATTATAGGTGTGTGTTCAATTTCAGCCAAAATCTTGAAGGGCTCACTTCAGTTAAAATGGGTTTAATAAATCAGTATAAAATTATCTTGTCCTTCCCTATAAAGATTTTAAACAAACTATCAGATAAATATTCTCTCCAATCCATCTTTTTTTTTACTCTATAATAAGGATAAATAATTAAAAAAGGAAATGGTGGATAATAAGTCAAAGTTTGATGGGTATTATATTGATAACATTTAATTTTTAATGTAATTATATTTATGTATATTATCTATATAAATTATATTACTATTTATAATGTATTATTCTCCTGTCATCATACATTGATTAAATATAATAAATATTTATTATTTATATTTCATATTTACTTTGGTAAGTAAACGTGATAATGCTTTTTATGTAATAAAGTAATTGTTTATAATTGATCATCTTGTGCAATATCTTTTTTCTTTTAGTAAAATTTATTACTTGGAAATAATTTATTTATTGGTAAAAAATACAGAGAAAATAACCAACACTATTTTGAAAAGAAAATTAAATAAAGAAAGTAATGATGAACGAAGTTCAAATACTATTTAACTCACAAGTTTAATGAATTTGAACTAATTTGTTCAAATGTTAAGTTTCACTAATGATAGTATTGATGTTTTTTCTAGGATTGCTGTCTAGTCTGCCAATTTGAAAATTCTTTGAATGAAGAGGTCTAAAGTTATGACATTTTTAATGGCAGAGCCAAGAGTGGAAATAGTTAATTGTTCAACAGTACAAAGTGAAAAAATGTATTTTTCTATTCAGGAATGGTCAAGATAGTTCTTAGCATAAATAGGTATTTTAATTTTAAAGTATAGATTTTTATTGAAGACATGGGTTTGTTAAATAAATCAAACTCGATTGTTTGTATGTTTTTTTCATCTTGACCAATCTACTTATTCCAGTTTTAAATTTAAATAATACATATATTTAAAAAAATATGTAATGCACTTATAATTTCATGTTTGAGTCATTACTTATAGATTTCAGTGAACAATAATAATGAAACATATTAATATTTCTTTTGTAGTAAAAAAGGTTTATTTTTTTTTTGTTCTATTGGTATCTTACTATAATACATAAGTACTTGATAGCCTTTTTTCCCACTTTTTTTTATTAGAAGTCTCTTTTTGTAATTTTTCATCTTATTTAAAAATGTTAGTCTTTGGAAATGTATTTATAATTTCATTATTGAACAAAGATGTATTTGTTTTCTTTCAATTATATAAATTTTCATTATGTTATAATTATGTAACTTTTTTATTAGAGTTCATTTATTTTGAGTATTCTTTCTAATATTCAAGGAAAAAAATGATTGATCCAAGTTCATCTGAAGAAGAAAGTGAGGAGGAACAGCATCATCAAACTGATGAAAGTAGACATAGTCAACATCATGCAGTACACCTCCCACCTCCTCCTCCAGCTCATCAGTACAATCAATCTGAAACTCTTAGTATTCCACTCAACAGTGAAGCCCCTCGGTAAGTTTTGTGTGCGAATAGGCAAGTAGATAAGTTTATAACTCCCTTGGTCGGAATAACTTATCTGTGAGATTAAAAATTAAACTTCTGATTAGAAAATTTGTTAATTTTTAATGGAAAAATTAACTAACTGCCTTTATTACTTAAAAATGATTATATTGGTGTTGTATATAATCAGCATAATAAAGTAATAAAAGATGTTTTTGAACATGAAGTTCATATAATTAAAATAAAAAATACCTGTACCATGGACCCATGGAGGGTCATAGGTTCAGTACTTTGCAAACAAGTACTGTTTCAAGATGGTGCAGGGTGGTGATTGGGCTGATACCATTCTCAGCTGTCAGGTTTTCCCACTTTAAATGAGCTCTGTGTGCCCTAGGAGGGTCTCCTAATCCATAATAATTACCTGTCAGCCAGACTCAAACCTAGGAACTTGAGCTTTGGAAGTCAGCATCCTATATTTATATTAAAATAACATTAAAAGTTATTGTACATAAAAAGTTATTTGCAAATCTGCTCTCACTGAACATTATTCAAAGCATTATTGTAAGAATTATTACACACCGTGCTTGAGTGTTTTTAACAAAGTACTAAAGAAACACATTTTTCATATTTGTGTTTCGAATACTGAACCTTCTTGATGACTCAACATTTAAACATTTTTTCCCAATTTGTCTTCTCCAGGTCCTTTGTGGTATAAAGGTAGATCGATGTTAAGGATGTTGGAATGGACATAATTTGAGTTATAGATCAGGGATTTCCAATTTTTTGAATGATCCCTCTTTTAAGTTGTCCCAAACACAAATTGTTGATTAGACCTTTCAAATATTCTTGCCTGACATTAGTTCTTTGAGTGATTGAATGATCATTTGAAGTAAGTATCAATTCTGAATTTGTTTTCTCCTACACCACACTAGGTATTAGATTAATTATACATTATTATTATACATATTTTTAATATATTTACATTCCATATTTTTAATACATTTAGTTTCTGATGTGTTAATTTCATAAATATTTTAACTATTAATTTGTGTTTTATCTGTTTTATTTTTTAATATTGTAAATTAGTTTATTGTTTTAAATACAATTACCCTTTTCTTTTTTTACTAATTGAAAGTTTGTATTCTTTTAGTACTTTAAAAAGTACCATATATATATATATATATATATATATATATATATATATATATATATATATATATATATATATATATACATATTTATTTATTTCCCATTTTTTATTTGACACGTCATATTTTAGTTTATGAAAGAAAGAAAAATCATAAAAAAAAAAAAAAAAAAAAAAAAAAAAAATTGAAATTATTTTTGTTTAATTTTTAATCCTTCCAGTTTCTTATTTAGTTTTTTGGTACAGGCACAATAGTATATTTAAATGTTTTAGCTGCCTTATTGTATTTCTGGAAATTGTTGCTGCACATTTCATGTTTTACTGCATATTGTGGGGTTTTTATTGTATATTATGTGGTATATTTATTAATAATTGATACTGTGAGATAGGTAATTGGGAACAGAATTAAAAACAAGAAAAAACATTGGCTCTACAAAGAATGCAAGATTCTAAACAAACAAAACAATAAGAAGAAGAGAAGCTCATGTTCATAGATGAAAGAAATGGCAAAGGTAAAACAAAATCCTTGCAGAAATATAAACTAAAGGGCCTTTGAGGAGAGAAATAGCAAGGCCTTCCTCAGAATGATTAATGAAGGTTTTCATACATTTAAACCCTAGAATCATGCCGGGACAAGGCTAGATCTCTGATCGCAGGGGAAGCGGTTGTTTTGGAGAAATGGGTTCCTCACTTCCAAACACTGGTAAATGAGGGAGACCAAGATCAGCTGGATCCCATCATTCTTAGAGAGAGGAATGCTGAAGATTCCATTGAACCTCCTGATAAAGAGGAAATAACGAATGCTATTAAGAGCAATAAGGCATCAGGAATCGATAATATACCAGCTGAGCTGTTCAAACACAGTGCAAGTGAAATAATAAAATTTCTGCAGTAACTTTTAGTGAATGGTGAGATGAAAGATTACCACCTGAATTTGTGTACACCTGACAGTAATTTGTCCTATTCATAAAAAAGGAGAAGTATATACATCCAATAGTTACAGAGCCATCTCATTACTCCAAAGTGGATACAAGATCTTTTCTATTATTTTATTTAACAGGCTCCTTCCCTATGCCGAGAGCGAGCTGGGGAAATATCAATCAATTCAAAATGGCGAGTCAACTACTGATCCAATTTTCATTGTATGCATTTTATTAAGGAAAACAAGGTATCATCATGTTCCAAGACATCATCTTTTTGTAGATTTCCAACAGGTATATGACTTTCAACAGAGATGAGGTCTACGAAGCAGTGATGGACATGAATATTCTGTTAAAACTGGTTCTTCTTGAGGGAATAATGATGAAGGCTATTTATGCTTCTTAAGGATGAATGGCAAACTCAAAAAGATTTTAAATTGAAATGAGAGTCAGAAAGAGGGATAGCCTTGCTTGTTTAGTATTTAACCTCTACCTGGAGAAAGTTATTAGGGATCTCCCGGTGTGGTAAGAAAAGCTTTTGAGGTGCTAGCAGCATGATTAGGACTCGCCATAAATGGAGAGGAGACGAAATACATGTATACTTCAATTAAACATGAAAATGACAGTGATCCGTCTTTATGGGAAAGTATAGATTTCAAAAAGTTCAATCATTCATCTATCTAGAAACCCAAGTCAACTATTAAAATAAAATGGAGGAAGAAATACTGACGTGAATACTTCTAGTAAACTTCACAAAGTTCACCCTCCAAGAGCGGTTAAGAAGAAATGCTGAATTAAAAGCCATATATGGAGATCTAGGTGTATGCACCTTAATTAAGTTAGCAAGGCTTTGTTGGGTTGATCATGTACCTAGGATGGAAAAAAATGAAATTCCACATAAAACTTTTTTGGACCATGTATATGACTAGATAAGTTGGACCTCCTAAGCTTTGTTGGGAGGACAGGGTGGCAACCAACACAAGATTCCTGCTTAGTGTTCGTAATTGGAAGGTAGCAGCAGGAAATAGAGAAGAATGACCATCTATGATAGAGCAGACTCAACAACTGGGTTGTAACATCTCCTAATAATGAAATAATTGAAACAAGTGTACTATAATTAGATGTTATATAGTTCAATGATGAACAATATAAAAAGAATAATACATTTGGAAAATAACATTTACAATTATGTAAAATCTTAAAAATTATTTGTTAAAATAAAACAATATGAAAAGGTAAATGCATTGTGGGAAAATAATTATATAATAACAATAAGAAAATTCAACACAATTTAAGAAAATAAGGGGGTAAATTTATAATTAATTAGGTGTTTAGTAAGCAAATCACTAAAAATTTAAATCAAAAGAAACAGCATGATTCATTGGAAATCATAAATATTGATCTTGTGAAGGCTAAGAGGACAATATCATGGGAAAAAATAAATTATAAAGAAAAGGGATAACTACAATACACGTTATGTAGAGTAAATAAACGAAAATTAAGTATAGTTAAGAACAACATGATTCAAACAATTTTTTTTAAATTAAGTTTAAGATATACCCATATATAAGGAAAATGCAATGATTATTTACTATACAATTAACAGCATCGGTTCAAGATGGGTGTGGAGGGAATCACTGGTTATTCTTTTGTGTTGATGAGGAACAGTATCAAGGATAGAGAATTTTTCAAAGTTGAAGAAATGGTCAACAATTAAGGCATGTTCAAAAGGTTTGTGGGCAAATAGGTTACAAGAAGTAAAATAATCAGCAATATTTTGATGTTTTTCTAACTGGCTTCCATGATATTTACTTCTTAAAAGAAATATCGATAAGTATTTTGAGTTGAAAAAACATCTTTCAAGTAGTCTTTTTTTCTCAAGGGGCCGAGATAATTTTATGACACTGTTCTTCCCATTTCTCATATATGGATTAGAAACCTGTACAACAACTATAGCTGAGAAAAAAGATCACCGAATATTTGAGAGAAAATTGCTCAGAAGGAATGTTTGTATCCAAAACTGGATGATTACCTGACAGAACAGGAATTCCTGATGATTGATATTTGGAATGCCAGGCCTCATTGAAGAGCTACACAACATCCAATATATATCTGCTTAATTTATATCATAGTTATATTGGAATAGGGATTTTTAAAAATCCCTTTTCATTAATTTATAAAACTAAATTTATTTTCATTGATAAATTTAATTTTTATTTACTTAATGATTCTCTTCAATTATTTCTTTTTTATTGATTATTAATACATTCTGCCACATTAAAGGGCATTAATATTAAGGCTACATGAATCATTCACACAGTATGTACATACAAATAATAACTTTTTTTTTTAATTTTTTTTTTTATTGATAAATATTACAATCTGTCTCAATAAAGGACATTTTTAATAGAGTTCTGAGAGCACATTCACACCATATTTACAAATTTAAAAAAATAAATAAATAAAAAAAATAAGCTAACTTCAAATAATATAAAGCTACAAAAGAACAAAATAAAATATCATAGTGAGAAAAAAAAAAAAAAGTAATGAAAATAAACACCTTAGATGCAGGCATACCTATTACACTATTTACAATCGGGCCATAGGAACTCCGAACCATACTTATCCCCCCACATGTGGAGAGAAAGCAAGGTTTCAGGAGATCCCTGCACTTCTTCCTCAACCATTTCACTGGCATTGAAAGCCAGCGGACAAATAATAACTAAGATAGAAATAATAAAGAAAAAGAAATATAGAAAAATAAAATAAGTAAATTAATATGTCTGTGTACAAAAAATGAAATAATAGATAAAAGCTAAATAAAATTAAAGTAAATAAAACACATTCACACCTATATACAATATTTACATTCACCCAGGGGACTCTGCGTCATGCTTTATCCCCCAATGTGGAAGCCAAGGCAGAACTCCAGGAGATCCCAGTGCTTTTCTCCCAGCTGCGTCACTGGTATTAGAAACCAGTGGAAACCGATGGAGAGCACAACAGCAACAGACGCTCTGGACCTGAGTAGAGAATCTGGCCATTGCCAGAACTTCAATATATAAATATTTACAGAAGGTCGCGGGGCCACTGCCGTTTTAACCTCCGAGGAGGATTGTAGGGATGGCTGGAGCTAGATAGGGATTTTGCTACAGGATTTGGATAATGATTGAAGTTCTGGTAAAATTTGGAACATTTTTCTGGGATTAGGTTAAGAACGAATGGGATATGAAGATCATTACTCTGCAATTTTAATTTTTAAACAATTGAAAAATTTATTTCAAAATTTAAACATTTAAAGAATTCTTCTATTAAATTATCTTGTTCTTTTATTTATTGTGAGATTTTAAATTTTCAGGTCTCTTTCACCTAGTGGTACTTCTACTGATACTGCAAGTATTTGTGGGACTGTTAATCCATCACGTTCTAATTCATTACCCCGCCCAACAAGCCCTAGTCCATCTGTTGTTAGTGAAAAAACTGAAGCTGAATTACAGGTCAGTATTTATTAGTTTTTTAATTTAATTTCAAGTTTTGCATTATTATACAGATTCTCATTTCATTCATTTTTTAATTATGAGAAAGATGATTTCCCAGTTAGAGTGACTTTGAGAAAGTTGGCTTTATCTTCCTATCGATACTCCCTATTAATTTTTTCATCCCTCTCCTTTAGTGTTTTATGGCTTCCATTGGGTTTGTTTTTTATAAAACCTAATTTTTACATTTCTATAGAATTTGAAGAACACTAGTTTTTGTTTTCCCTTTTATTCAATTATCTATCACAAAAATCATTAACATCCTTATTTAGTGAAATTTCAACTATTTCCTCTTTTTCGTTATCTACTGTACATTATCATCTTTGTACTTCAATTTCAATAGTGTTTTGAAATCTTCCCTAATATCTAGTAGTTTTAGCATCAGCCTGTTTCCCAATGCTAGTATAAATTTGTATTTATACATTAAACAATGCAGTATCTCAGTGAATGAGGTACTGCTATTTACCAGAGCCATAGTTTGAGTGACAGATAATTATTGGCTTGCTGAGAAAATGATGCAGGATTTTAAGTTTTCTTTAAAATACTCCTCTACATAACAAACTATTTACGTTTACTGGATTATTCATTTGTATGAATGTCAACAATTATTAATCCTCTTCCAAAGAATAATGTTTGTTTACCTCTGTAGCATTTCGCTGCTTAGAAATAATTCAGTCTTAAACTTGTCCAGAATGAGGCCCAGACGGCCAGAAACATCAATCAAGTCTTGAGCGAGAGCAGCATTAATGAGTGGACTGTTCAATGGTGGTTCAAAAAATTTCAGGAGGGAGACTTCAACCTTGAAGACAAAGAGGGTTGTGGAAGGACTTCCTTCGTAGAAAAAAATACCAGAACTGTTCAAGACACTAGCGGATCCAGGATTTAATTTTGGGGGGGGCTTAAGCCCGAAAGCTTTTTTTTCATAAAAATAACGATAATTCCTTTGGAAAAACAGAAAGAAACTAACTACCTACATGAAATGGTGTTTAAGTGATTCCTTAAGTCCTTTTAAATGTAATTACACGAAAAATTATACTTTAAGATGTATTTTTAAAAGTTTTTTTCCATAAAACATGGTTATATTTTACCATTTGGGGGGGGGGCCTCAGCCCGAAAGCACCCCCCGTAGATCTGCCCGTGGTTCAAGAACTTACAGGGAAACTTTACCTTAGCGAATTGACTGTCGATGACTCTCTCAAGGCAATTAGAAAGGTGAAAAAGCTTGGAGAGTTGGTTTCTACACACATTAAATGACCACTAAACAAATCAGCATTATGAAGTTTGTGCTACACTTCTTTGATGAAACAAAAACGACCCTTCTCTGTCCCGAATTGTTATTTGTGATGAAAAGTGGATACTTTGCGATGGCAATATACTTTATGGACAATGGCTCAACAAAGAGGAAGAAGCAGAATATTTTCCAAAGCCTCCAACTCATCAAAAAAAGGTGATGGTTACTGTTTAATGGGGTTCATTTGGTTTTATACACTACAGCTTCTTAAATCGGAGAAACCATCAATGCTGAATAGCATTGTAACCAAATTAATGCAATGCATCAGAAATTAGCCATAATGAAGCCATATTTCGTCAATCAGAAGGGGCCAATTTTGTTGCATGACAACGCCCGGCCACATGTCTCAGGTGTGACATGACAAAAACTGTTGGAGCTTGGATACAAAACTCTGCCACATCTGCCCTACTCTTTTTACCGCTTGCCTACAGATTATCATTTTTTTTAGATACCTGGATCACTACTTACATGGAAAAAAATTTAATGGACAAAGAGAATTAGATTAGATGTGTTTTGGGAGTTTATCAATTCTAAAGATGAGGAATTCTATTCCGAGGGAATGGAAAAGTTGCCGACACATTGGCAGAAATGAATTAATATTAGTGGAGACTATTTTGATTAAATAAAACTGTTGTAAATCTTTCATTTTCTTTTTTTTTTTTTTAACAAAATCCTCCATTATTTTCCGGACTACCCAATACTTATTCTGTTCCATCAGCTGTGGATCTATTCTGTGGTTGTCAGAAAACATCTACAGGGTCACACGCCTTTATTATACAAGCGTTGTTGTAGAAAAGCCTTACAGCAAGCGTGATATCGTTCAATGCCATAACTGTCAGACTTATGGCCATACGAAACGGTATTGTCATCACATTCCCTAGATGTGTGAGGTGTGGTGAGCAACACAAAACAGAGGACTGTAGGAAGTCTAGAACTTCCCCTGCAGTATGCGCTTTATGCCACCAAGGACACCCAGCCAACTACAAGGGTTGTCAAACATACAAAGATTTAAAAACACGAATGTACGCAATACCTAGAGAAGAAGAGACATCCAGGCCACCAAGACAACCCTCTAGAACAGTGAACGGAAGAGTGTCCTATGCTCAGATGTTCAAAGGAGACACTGTAAACATTCAATCTCAGGCCCTGCCACAAGAACCTAAGCCTCAAGAATTCACACATCAACCTCAAGACCCATATCCCTCCATCCCTGAACGTAGGTTAAATACTCATACATTCATTTCTCCTCCTTCCAATTCCTCTGACCTCACAAGCTTACTGACATCTTTCCTTTCCAAATTTAGATCTCTCATTACCCTTCTTATTTCGCTACTTACCAATGTTATATCCAACCTCATTCCACTGCCAAGAAATCCATAAATGTCCTCAACCAAATTCCTCTCCATTCTCCTTTGGAATGCGAATGGTATTCGGAACCACATCAACGAACTGACAATCTTATTACATGACAAAAACATCGACATAGCACTAATAACTGAAACTCGACTAACCAACAAACGACAAATCAATGTTCCCGGCTACCATATTTATCGAACCGACCATCCTGATGTAACAGCACATGGTGGCACTGCCATAATTATCCATCAATCCGTTTCCCATCATTTGTTTCCCTTACCAAGCCATAATTTCCTACAATCCACAGCCGTAATAATCCAAACAACCCTTTACCCAATAACACTAGTTGCGGCATATTCCTCGCCTAAAACACCCATTTCCGAATCCCAAATAATTTCCTTCCTGAATTTCTTAGGACATCACTTCCTCCTAGGTGCAGATCTAAATGCAAAACACCAACAATGGGGAGCCAGATCCACAAATCCCCTAGGGCGAACACTGCTATCTGCACTTAATTCCCATCGCAGCAACATCCTTTCACCTAATATTCCCTCATACTGGCCAACAGATCCCAACCACAATCCTGACCTTCTAGACTTTTTCCTACACAAAGGTTTAGGATCATTACACTGTTCCATTTCAAGGTTTGATGATCTTTCCTCAGACCATAGTCCTCTAGTCCTAACCGTTTCCACATCTCCCATTCCTAAATCATCCCCACCTTCATTTATCAGGGGGCCAGTTAACTGGAACCTTTTCCGTCAAATACTGGAAGATAATAGACCTCAGAGTTTTCTTAAAAACACCTGAATACCTTGACGATGCAGTGCATTCCTTCACTACCTTGATCCAGCAAGCAGCTTGGACTGCATCCTCACCTGATCATCCCAAAAAATAAAAATACCATAACATAAATCCTTTACCTCAAGACCTACTGGACCTTATCCATAGCAAACGTTGCTCTAGGACCCTTTGGCAAAGAACCAGGCATCCTGATGACCGGAAATCGTATAATTATTATTCCAAACAGGTAAAAAAGAAACTGGGTACCTTTAGAATCCAATCCTACAATTCCTACCTCTCCTCATTATCCGCTAGTGATATTTCCCTCTGGAATGTAACCAAAAAAATCCTTAAATTCCAGTCCACTTCACCGTGATGATGGTTCCTGGGCTTCGTCAGATGCGAATAGAGCAGAAGAGTTTGCTAAACATCTATCCTGCACATTCACCCCTCATCCCTAACTCCATCCCACCCACACTGCTGAAGTTGAAGAATTCCTCTCTTCACCAATTCCTCTCTTCACCAATTCCTCTCTCTCTATCTCCAAAACCTGTTAACCCCTCTGAGGTCAAATTCCTTATAAACAAATTAAAACCCCGAAAATCCCCTGGATATGATCTACTCACTTCACAAATCCTCAGACAACTTCCCAAAAAAGCAATTATATTCCTTACCAATCTATACAACTGCATCCTTCGTACAACTAACTTTCCTTTGGTGTGGAAACACCCCATAATCATCCTGTTTCCAAAACTAGGTAAACCTGTTAATAACACATCATCCTATCGACCGATAAGCTTACTCCCGATCCTCTTAAAAATCTTTGAAAAAATCCTTCTCAAACGCATCCTACCCATAATCGAATCCCACAACATCCCTTCTCATCAGTTTGGATTCCGCTCCAGACATTCCACTGTCCAACAAGGCCTTCGTGTTGTGGACCATATATCCTCTGCACTTGAAAACAAGCATTATTGCACTGGTGCCTTTCTGGAGGTAGCGCAAGCTTTCGACCGGGTGTGGCACGATGGCTTGCTTTTCAAGCTCGAAACCCATTTACCCCAATCCTTATACCTAGTCCTCAAATCCTACCTCTCAAATCGTTCCTTTCAAGTCCGTTGTGACACTGAATTCTCCACTTACTATCCAGTTGAGGCTGGTGTTCCACAAGGCAGTGTCTTGGGCCCAGTTCTCTACATCCTCTTCACTTCTGATATCCCTTCAAATCCCGATACATTTCTAGCTACATTTGCTGATGATACTGCCATTCTATCCTCCCGCTCAGATCCTCAAATAGAATCTCTAAACCTACAATCTCACCTCTCCTTGATTGAGTAGTGGTGCAACAACTGGCGCATCAAAATCAATGAATCTAAATGGAACCATATCACTTTCACCCTGCGACGCAGATCCTGTCTGCCAATCCTTTTTAATTCAATTCCACTTCCCTACTCAGACACAGTCCGTTACCTTGGCTTCCTTCTAGACAAAAGACTAACTTGGAACCCACATACCAGACTTAAAAGACAAGAACTTAACCGACGATATGGCCAGCTGTATAGATTACTAAGTAGGACATCTCATCTTTCGATTGAAAATAAACTTTTAATCTACAAGACTATACTGAAACCTATCTGGACCTACGGACTTGAACTGTGGGGAACTGCTAAACATTCGAATATCAAACGCATCCAATCCTTCCAGTCCAAAGTACTTAGAACAATAGTCAATGCCCCATATTATGTCACAAATAAGACCCTACACCATGACCTTAACATCCCATTTGTCCTCGACATCATCCCATCCAGATTCTCAAACTTTCACCAGAACCTTATCCATCATCCAAATCCTCTAGCTCAATCCCTATCCAGCTCCCTTCATCCCTACAATCCTCCACGAAGGTTAAAACGGCAGTGGCCCAGAGATCTCTTGTAAATATGCTTCTGGAGTCCTGGCAATGGCCAGCTTCTCCACTCATGTCCTGAGCGTCTGTGGCTCTAGTGCCCTCTTTCAGTCTCCACTGGCTTCTAATACTAGTGATGCGGCTGGAAAAGTGGCACTGGGATCTCCTGGAGTCTTGCTTTGCCTTCCACATGTGGGGGAAAAAGCCTGGCTCGGAGATTCCTGGGCGAATGTATATATTGTATATAGGTATGATTGTGTTTAGAAGTTTCTATTTTATGTTATTGTTTACTTTTTTTTCTTTTATTTACTTTCTTCATCAGTATTATTTATTTACTTTTTATATTTATATTTATTTCTCTATTATTTGTATATATTGTTTGAATGAGAACTTTTAGCCCTAATACTTATAGCCCTCCAGCAGTGGCTGATTGTATTATCATTCAATAAATAGATTATTAAAAAAAAAAAAAAAAAAAAAAAGAAAGAAATACCTCTGAATCCAACACACTTCATTGATAGTAGTGGTATAGGATTTTTTTTTTTTTTTTTTTTTAAACCGTGGTTTGATGAAGATTGCTTAAACATGTGCGAAAAATGAAAAGCCGCTAAATTAAAAGCTCTAAATAATCCTAGCGAAGACAATCTGGAATACTTCCGAACCTCAAAGAACGAAACGACAAAATTGCTCAAAAATAAAAAAAGGGAGTATCTTAAAAATAAAATAATTGAAATAGAAACTAATAAAATCGAAAATAACGTAAGAGACATGTACAAAGGTATAAACAGATCACGTAAATGTGTAGGGTCCGTAACATCTGGAATTAGGGATGATAATAACAATATTCTGACCGATCCGGTTGACATATTGAATAAATTTAAGGACCACTTTGACAATATTTTAAATACGGGAAATTATGATCTGTGTCCCCCTTCTGAGTACCAGAGTGCTGAACCGTTGATAGAAGGACCGAGTAAAGAGGAAGTTGAATTAGCTATCGGAAAATTAAAATCTTATAAAGCAGCAGGAACCGACAATATTCCTCCTGAACTAATTAAGGCATGCGGGGAAGCTGGAGTTTCTAAAATACATCGGTTGGTTAAAAAGATCTGGGTGAATGAGAAATTACCTGAAGAATGGAAAGAATCTATTCTTATTCCGATTCACAAAAAGGGTCCGAGGACGGATTGTAATAACTATCGAGGAATTTCACTCCTTCCGGTATGTTATAAAATATTTACTTTAATCTTAACCAGTCGAATCACGGAATATGCCGAGGAAATTATCCGAGACTACCAATGCGGATTTAGACGGAATCGTTCGACTATTGATCAAATATTTTCTTTACGGCAAATATTAGAGAAAAAATTGGAGTACAACGGTATTGTTCACCAGCTGTATATAGATTTTAAAAAGGCTTACGATTCTATTGACCGCCAGAAACTGTATAATATTCTAATCGAGCAGGGGATTCCTAAAAAATTAGTAAATCTAGTCAGGATGTGCTTGACGGAGACACTCAATAAAGTTAGAATCGGTAATAATCTGTCCGAAAAATTTGAGGTTCGTTCGGGTTTAAAACAGGGGGATTCCCTTTCGCCTGTACTGTTCAATTTGGCATTAGAACATGCCATTAGGGAGGTAATGCGTACCGAGAAAGGGTTGGATCTGGGTGGGACAACATCCGTGCTGGGCTATGCTGATGATCTGGTACTGTTAAGCGAAGACCTTGAAACTATAAAACTAAATACGACAACGTTAATGAAAGCCGGTAAAGAACTAGGACTCGAAATAAACGTGGATAAAACAAAATATATGGTTAGCTGCAAAAATGGCGATACTACTGGTGATATCGATATAGATGGTAATATGTTTGAGCAGGTAGATAAGTTTAGGTATCTAGGTTCTACGATAACTAGAAAAAACGAAATTGAAGAAGAAATTAAGGTTAGACTGAAGGCGGGAAATGCTTGTTATTTTTCTGTGACAAAACTACTTAGTTCGCGCCTTTTGTCCCGAAACTTAAAAATTAGAATCTATAAAACAATTATCTTGCCTACAGTTCTTTATGGGTGCGAAACTTGGCCGCTTACATTAAGGGATGAGCAGCGTCTTAAGGTTTTTGAAAATAAAGTATTGCGTAGAATATTCGGACCGAAGAAGGATGAGTTAACCGGAGAGTTCAGACGGTTACACAACGCCGAATTGCGTGAACTGTATCCGAGTAATATAATTGAGATAATTTCATCGCGGCGAATCAAATGGGCTTGTAAAGTTGTTGGACTTAGTAACGAGAGAATTCCTAAAAGGTTAATATTTGCTGTGCCGAATGGTAAGCGTCCGAGGGGTAGACCGAAGCGAAGGTGGGAAGATTGCATTAAAGCTGATCTGAAGGGACTGGGTTTGGACGGCGAACGGTGGAGGGAGGTGTGTAATAAGCAATTGGTGGTGTCGGCATCGAACCTTCGGGTTCGCTAAGCCTTTTTATTTATTATTTTTTAAACCTGTTATTCCATTCAACTTTTATTTTTCACCTTATTCTCTTATCGATCACACAGCTTTTAGGTACTTGGTAGGCGAACTCATTTCTTATTATGATTTACTTCAGATCCTCTACTTTCATATTTCTATCATTCTATATTGACATGAGTATAGAAGTTTACATCATTCCCTATAATATGAGCTCAATTCATTTCAACCTAATATGTATTGAAATAATGAATCTAAAAATTTGAATACTTTTTAGTTAAATATTTTCCAGTAAATTTTTTTGTGATTCATGGTCACAAAAATGGAGAATACTGGTTACAACTAATAATTGTATTCATGTAAAAATGTAAACTTATCTGTATCTGTTTTTAATTTGATCAGTATTTTTATGCTGTAAAATCTAATTGTATTTTATTGTTTTACTTAATAGGATAAACAAGAAAGAGAAGAAGAAGAAAGAAAACGTAAGCTTCAACTTTATGTTTTTATTTCAAGATGCATTGCCTATCCATTTAATGCAAAGCAGCCCACTGATATGACCAAGCGCCAAACTAAAATTACCAAACAACAGTTGGAAGTAATTCAAGGAAGATTTCAGGTAATTGGAACAGTACCTCCCAAAAATTCTTTAATTTTCTAATTAACATTTTTTTTTGTTTTATATTAAAGTTTAATGATTATATCTAATGTATTAGGTAGTGATAATTACAATTTCTGTAATGGCAATTGGGTAACAACAGACATCCTTCCTAATTTTAGCATCAATTTTACCTAAGTCGATGCACCAAGCTTGGAGTTATGCTTTTCTTTGATTGGAATTATTGAAGATTGTCATTCCTCATCTAGACCTGTTTTCTGCAAAACAGAGGAATGAATCACTTGAAAAGATATCCTTGATGTCCAGCAAATACTCCTAAACTAAAGCACAGTGCACCAAAGCTACTTTGTTGACAGGGCAGCCTTTATGATATCACTTTCTTTCTTTCTTTTTATTTTTTTGCTGTAAGGATAATAGATGGTTTTTCGTTAGTTGTAACTTGTTTTTTAAACTTTTGTGTTCATTAATGAAGACTGGCAAACATAAGATTTTTGAATTTTTTCTTCTTCCTAATTTCCTAACACAAAGGGAGTGGGATCTCCTATTTCACTGAAACTTTTTGATCTTGATGTTATTTTGAAATAACCTTTTTTACAACATGAGTGATCTGGGATCAAATTACTAACACATGGAGGACAAGGTCCAGTAAAGATTTGTGAACAATCTGGTCGGGATGGAAACTCCCTTCTTATCTTATCTTACATCACATAACCTCCCTTCTTATCTCGTGTTAGCTGTTGTTATACTTCTGTTACGTGTGAGTTATTCCATTGTTTATTTTATCATCTCTTGAAATCGATATTATTACACTGTGAGAATTACATTGTGCCGTCTTTAGAAGAAGAAGCTATCAAATATTTTCAAAAGGTCTGGATAATTCCAAAGATGAAATTCTGTGAAGAAGGTCATGAAATGAAGTTTGACAGGAAGACTAAATGGAGATGTCTTCGTAGCATTTGTAACAAAAATGTATCCTTAACAAAAGGAACATGGTTAGAGAGGTCAAAGATTACCTTTTCAACCGCTTTAAAATTTCCTCATACCAGACTGAAACGACAAGAAACAGCTCGACGTTTCCGGCTACTTCAACACTTACTAGACAAACGCTCTAACCTTCCAATTAATTATAAAAGACTCATTTACATGACTATAATAAGGCCTATTTGGACTTACGGAGTTGAGCTATGGGGCTCCACCAAACCTTCACATTCTTCTTGCATCCAATCCTTACAATCCAAAATCCCTCGTGAAGTTCTCAATGCTCCTTACTTTGTCACAAATAAAATAATCCATAATGACCTTAATGTTCCTTATGTATCAGATTTGGCCCAATCAAGATATCTGTCCTTCCATAATAAACTTCATAACCATCCCAACCCTCTTATTTCCCCTCCATGATAACCCTCCGAGGCATCTGAAAAGAAGATGGCCACATGATCTCCTAATATAGACGTATTATTTGAGTGCTACCAATGGGTAGTTTCTCAACATGTGTTTCATGTCATTATATCCATGTGCGAATTTACCAGATTTTTTTTTGTATACAGTTGTAAATATCATATAAATAAATAAAAAAAAAAAAAAAAATTATGGGTGGTCTCATAATTAAACAACAATACAGTGGGGCAATTTAAATTATAATTTGACAACAATTAGAGAGGTCAAAGATTACCTTTATTTATTTTGTATAAAATGTAAAATAAAATTGTTTTATAAATATATATATATATATATATATATATATATATATATATATATATATATATATATATATATATATATATAGCATTTCTAAGTCAATTTCAACCTTTTCCAAATCAAATTCAACCTATTCCAAGTCAAATGAAACCTTTTCCATTTCAAATTCAACCTTTTCCAAGTCAAATTCAACCTTTTCCATTTCAAATTCAACCTTTTCCAAGTCAAATTCAGCCTTTTCCATTTCAAATTCAACTTTCGAATTTTGGTCAATTTTCGATGTTTTTCGAAATGAAGGCCACTTACTATATTATCGAAGGCATAGCTTTTGAAAAATACAAAAAAAAATTTGATAACGCGGTTGCATATCCATTTATTTTAACATTTTAGATTTTTTCAGTGTAATATTTCTATGTCATGTTCAATTATTTCCAAGTCAAATTTAACCTTTTCCAGATCAAATTAAACTTTTTCCAAGTCAAATTCAACCATTTCCATTTCAAATTAAACCTTTTCCACTTCAAATTCAACCGTTTTCATTTCAAATTAGTGTTTTAATTTTTTGTAAAATTTATATATTTTTTAAAATAATGGCCATCCCCTCCCTCCCTCCAATATGAAAGTCTATTATTATGCTCTCCTAAGTAGAATTTTCACTTACGGATATCGATTTTTTGTACCTATTCAGATTTATTAGGGACTAATATTATGCTGTCCTGTACCTAGTTTTTAAAATAACCTCCATTTTAAGATTACGCCACTGCGTTTCGACTTATTTAAGTTTTTTTGATTTATTCGATAGAAGGATGTATTCTTATGTTTTCCGAGCCATAAATTATGAAAATAAGCTCCATTTTATGATCAGGCCACAGCGTTTTGACTTATTTAAGTTTTTTGAATTTATCCAATATAAAGGTCTACTTTTATGTTTCCGGAGGCGTAGATTTTGAAAACGGCCTGAACTTAAGGTTGAAACGTTGGCAAATATTAAAATAAATATTATTATTTATTTCTGACTGATCACCCCAACCATCCTTCTCTTCATTATTCAGGATAGTCAACCATCAACCTACAATTATAAATAAATGATATTTATTTTTATTTTTGCCGAAGTTTTGGCCCAAAATTTTAAATCAATTGGTTCAGCTGTTTATGTAGCCTCTTCAAAGATAAACAAGAACAAGTTTCTAACAGGAAAAAATGGCATATTTGAAGTGTTATACTTTAACTCTCTGAAGTTCAAAACTATGAAAATATACGTGCTTTCTCTTCACATATTAAAGTATATCGGTATAAAATTTCCTTCTCTTAGTCCTTCTATATTCACAGATCAAGATATCCAAAAACCCTTTTTGATAAAATGAGGTCTTGTGACATTTTTCGTTTTTCAATTGTTTTAATGCAGAGCTTATTTGCTCGGCAGAGTAGAATACTGCTGCATTTCTAGATAGGCCTGGAATTGGGTCCACGAAGAGTTATGAATATAACTGTGGTCCTACTTTTATTAACAATTATTACTCCAATGTTGTATATAGTTTATAACACCACTCTTGGATCTTTAATTTTATACCTATATAATATTGTTTTAGTGTGTTGAGAACAACTTTTTCAAAATCTTACCTAGCAAATCACTGGATTATATGATCATCATAGGATAAGAGTGGTTATCTTTTCAATATCTATCATAGAAAGACAAACATGTTACTTATGATTTATTAGGGAATCATTAAACACACAGTAATGACAATATAATAGATAAGACAACACATTATATATATATATATATATATATATATATATATATCTGTGTGTGTGTGTGTGTGTGTGTGTGTATGTGTGTGTATTTAAAATGACCTTCAATTTATATCTTTTTATCATTCCACTCATGAAAGTCTTGAAAAATATCACTGTTATTAATTCATTTATTTAATATTGGTAAGATAAATGTTATTCCCAATAATCAATAATCTCAATATCTATCAAAGTAATGTAGAAAATCTAATTTTACTACTGTTAATATCCAGCTTACAGTAAAGCTACAACATTTAGCTTTTAAAATTGTTAAATATTTTCTAAATACAATATTGATGTTATTATGACTTATTTTTTTCATCTGCATATAACATGACATCTAAAATCAATTTTTATATAATTTTTTTATGGTTTTTGTTTTTAATTTTAGTATTTTTGATTAATGATTAAATATATTTTTTTCACTGTATTGTTTTATTATTTGTTCAGAGTTTTCTAAAAGGCGACACTCAAATAATGGCTGATGAAGCTTTTCAAAACGCAGTTCAAACGTACTATGATGTATTTTTAAGATCTGATAGAGTTCTTAAAATGGTTCAGTCTGGTGCTTGTTCACAGTATGATTTCAGAGAAGTGTTTAGAAACAATATTGAAAAAAGAGTCAGGTAAGCAGATTTTATAGATTTATCTGTAGATAAGATCTTTATTTAATGTAATATGTAAAGACCTGTACACAATGGTCCAACTAAAGCCAGTGTATGTCGGTTGCCAAGGGGTTGGCACTGAGCCTTTCATATCAAATTTATTTTTGCCTGGTTTTGTTGCCTCTGAAAGTCAGTAAGGATATGTAAACAATGGTCCATCCGAATAGGATAGATGATCAACCTTTTCATTCTGAGAATATTATTGCATCCTTGCATATAAAAATATCTTGAAGTCCCTTCTGCTTCATCAGGTAACTGTCAACCACCTCAGGGCTCACATTTAGGTATGAGTTAATCAAGAGTTCTTCAAGGTATCTCCCCCATTCCACTTCTGACTTCTGATTTATCAGTAAGAAGATTACCTTTTTGGTTGAGGCGAGACATTGAGGTGTGAACAATGTTTAAAGGTTTCTTATTTAACCTGTGGAAGAACTCTCTTGATTCTTTACTTCCATGTAGAACTTTTATTTTCTATAGCACTACACACTCTTTCTTACTGCAATTGAGTTTCTTCTCTTGATGAAGCCCCCATTACTCCTCAACATTACTGTCCTCCCCCCCTCTGTGGCATAGCATGGCAAGCCACATTTTTTCAATGAATTGGATCTTTGCATTCATCATCAAACCACAGGATATGACATTCCTTTTGAGTTGGACCCAGAATTGCAGCAGCCGTCTCATCCAAGGCTTGATTATAATGCTTGGTCAAGCAAGCTTGACTATATACTGGTTCATTGCAACTTGGATTTGGAGCTCTGCAATTTGAATATTTTAATCTTACTGCTTCTGATGCCCAGTCTGAATGTCTTTAAGGTGTGCTATTGAAAAGTAATAATCAACTTAATAATAAACCAATTGTTTGTATACCTTTAAGTTTTCATTGTCGAAAATAGAGAATATTATACATCTTCTCCGCAAAAAGGAAGAAAAGAAGACTTGTAGTAATCCACATTTTTTACCTTAGATCACCATTGTATTGAGCGAATTTGATTTATGTCACTTCCATATCATATATGGTTGATTTGATTTACTATTAATCATATAAGATATATCTTTATGAATATTTCTGTTCAAGAAGAGACTATTGTCTACAACAAAATCTCTGAATGCTATGAAGTTTGCAAGCTAAGCTCTGGTATGTGTTCATGTAAACTATGTGTTGGGGTCAGGGGTATTTCAAAATTGAAAATACAAATCTTTCCCCAGTGAGTTCCCTCGAAGGTGGGGAAAATTCGAGTAAAATTAAAGGGTGAGAAAGAAGGGGAAAAAGTAGTGAACATGAGAGCTGTAAAAGAAGAAAAAAATGCATGCACAAGAAAATATTAAAAACTAGAAATATTGCAATACATAAAAAAAAAAAAAAAAAATGGAAAATAAATATAAATCCCCCTTTTCAATGTTTACAATATTTATTATTAAATAAAAGAGATATATACAAAAGTTAAAAAACAAAATAAACAATGGTATGAAATGAATTAAAAACACAAAACATAATATTCAGTGAACATAAAACAAATTAAGAACTATTACTAAAACGAAAATGAAATCAACTTCTAAAATTGTAAATCAGTAATAAGAAAAAAAAATTTAACTAAAATACAATTTTTAACGCCTAGAAAAACTAAAAAAAAAACTAATTTAGCATGGGAAAAAATTAAAGTAATTTACGGTCTTTCGTGGCGATGGAGAATAAAAAAACAAAAAGTTGGAGGTTCTGCTTCCAACGAGATTACCTTCTACGATGTTTAGCTGTCAAAGTAATCGATGGTGGGAGAATCGGTTGGTATATCGATCTCGATCAATGACTCAGCTGGGCTCTTCAAAATGGCACAGGTGAGGTGAAGATGAGACGAGACGAGACAAGACAAGCCAGGAGCCGGTGAAAATGGTGGGGTGGGGGTAGACATCCAACACAAACTAAAGATAGCTCCAAACTGACGACCCGGCAGTATTTTGATGTCTTAATCCCTAAGGCTGGGTATTACTGCTAGGCTGGCGCATATACAAATGCGATAACACATTGCAAACGAAGCCAACTATACAAATAATATAAACTTAAATACATTTCTAGAACTATTGTATCTTAGCTGTTACAAAAACAAAATAAATAAACATTCCGTTATTAACATTTAAAAGGGGTTAATGGTGAGAAAAAAAAAACAAAAGAAAAAAAGAAAGGAAAATAAAATACGTAGATTCGGGCGTTAACACTATGCTTAACAATAACTGGGACATAGATGTCCCATCTTGGTATTGAAAGCTTCTTTAATTATCTTCATCTCCTATCTTTGGCAAACTTCAAAGGTCCTTTCAATTATAACTTACTTACTTCCAGAATTAAAATCCAGTGGTGAGTCAGGGCCTCCCGCAACTTCAACCACCAGTCTTCTCGGTTCGCTGCCTCTGCCATGCAGTTTGTTACTCCTAAGGTGGACTGTTCATCCTCCGCCACTCCATCGGCCCACCACAGTCTTGGCCTGCCAATTTACCTCTTACCGTACAGTCTTTTTTCCAGACATCTCTTTGGGATCTCATTGTTCTTCATTCAAGCAACATGTCCTGCCCAATGAAGCCTTGCAATCTTGGTTTATCTGGCGTATACTATATGGGGGGTAGGAAGGATAAAACCACTTCAACTCTTCATAGAAACAGGAAACAGGGGCGTCTCCTGGGATCCCGAAGATGAATCGTACAAAGCAATTTATCAAACGTTTTAGTTTCGCCTCGAGATCCCCAGGGACGCCTCCATATACCGTGCAGCAATAGTTGAAGTGGGGAAATATTAAGGAGGTGACCAGGAGTCTATGGATTTCAAAAGGAAAAAAGTGTCGCAGGCTATTTTAGTGTTTTAGGGTGGAAAAGGTACGTCGGGAGATATTGGACACATGGTTTTTCCAGGAAAGGGTTTGATCAAAGATTATTCCAAGGGTTTTGATGGTTGATTTTGGACAAGGCGTTCCAGTTGTTTTGAGAGGTTGGAAAGAAGAGAAATAGGACGGAAATCGTTCTGTGAGGAAGGGTTAGATATTTTACTTAAAGATCGGACTAGTGCAGTTTTCCAGGAAGAGGGAAATATGGAATTTTGCAATGAAAAGTTGTAGATGTGATAAAGTACTGGAATAAGGGTAGGAAGGCTGAATTTTATTGGTTTTACTGGAATATTGTCAGGACCATAATCATTGGTGTGGGATTTGAGGATAGTGAAAAGTACTTCATCGTAGAGACACATAGGAAAAAAAGAAGTTTTCAGGATTGAAATTGTAGTGTTCAATATCATGAGTAGGAGAAGGATTAGAAGCAAAAGATAAGAAATGGTCATTAAGATCATCTGGAGTCACAGGGTGGGAAATGAGGTTATGGGAATCTGGTAGGAATAGATTACGAAGTATTTTCCATTTTAATTTGGAATAAGGAGCATTGGAAAGGGCATTATGAAAATATTTGGATTGTGGATTGGGTTGCATTGCGAAGTTATTTGAAAGACACATAATCAGCAGGTAATCGGGTTTGATGGTATTTGCGCCTTGCTGCATTCCTTCTCTTTATCATTCCCTTTATTTCAGGAGTCAGCCAAGGAGCAGTGGGACGACGTAAGATTCTGGTTTTCAGAGGAGCATGGATGTCTAATATGGATTGTAGGTTTGAGGTAAGGGTGGATATCATTGGGTCAATGGAGGTATAGGAAAATATGGTATCCCACTGGACAAAATCAAGGTCAGATTGAAGGGATTCGCATGAAAGGAGGTTCAAATTGCGATATGACACTATTTTGGGAGTAAATGATTTCACGGGTAGGTCGTACGAGATTTGGATCAGGTCGTGTGATGATAGAAAGGGTACAGGGTGTTGAGAGGAGGAAAGCAATTTTAAGGGGTGAGTCAGAGATATAGAGGTCTAACCAGGTGTCAGAGAACTGAGTGCGATGAGTGGGAGAATAAGGGACAAGATAAAGATTGAGAGAAAATATTAAGTCATTGAGGTAGTATTATATATTAGTAGTATTATATATTAGTAGTATTATATATATATACATATTACAATGTTTTTATATTGCAATATATTTATATATATATTACAATGTTTTTGTTTTTTGATAATTTAATATTAGCTCGATTTTTTCAAACATTAGTGACAGTATTAACTACCTTCAGTCTTAGCTCATTTTGTTTTAAATCTTCCTTTTCTTCTGTCTGTATCATGTATTCGACATCAGACAGGAGATGTGGTATTCTACTCAAGATATTTTTATTGTTTACTTCATAATTAAATTTAGGTCCTAAGGCTAAAATATTCTGTATGTTTTTTTCTGTAAGGTTTAGGAACGCAGTGGTTGGTACCTCTGGCAGTGGATCAGCTACTGTTCTTTTATTTATTTTCTCAAACTTTTTTATTAATTTGAACTTCTTTTCACTGTGCTGTCTTTTGTAGAGCTTCTCTTGGTCATAAGTCAATTTATAATACATTTCTCGATCCATTATGTCATAAAGTTCTACCAGAAAGTTTCTGGTAGAATGGTTTTATGAAATATCGAAATATCAATATCGAAATATCGTCAGATAACCATTGGAGATGACGCCACTATACATCCCTTCTATCCACCCCCTCCTTCAATAACACGAGCATTGCCTCTTCTACCTTAGAGCTGTCAGGTGTGTGTTATATCTTCTCTTACTTATTCTCTTTCTTATTTCATCCTTCTCAGTTTCTTTCCTTCTTCCTTTCATCCCTTTTCTCTGTTTTAACTCTTTGTTATATCATACTTTGTCTGTACATATTGATAGACTTTACTACATCTCAATTTTCTATCTAAATATTCTATTCACAATATCTTAATTTTACTATTTATTTCCATTTCTTATATAACTTCATATTTTTCTGTTTTACATTTTATTTTAAGATTCCCTTTACAATACTTATGTCACCTTTTTGACTATGTTTACTTCATCATTCCACACTTTGTACCTGTTATTATTATTTGTCTCTTGTTCTTACTATTGTCATTATTCTAACAACTGCATTTTACTGTAATTTTTATGTTTCTCATACCTTGTTATCTGGTTCTTTTCTTAGCCCTGATGATGGCCTGAATTTCAGGTCGAAACGTCGGCAAATGACAAAATAAATATTATCATTTATTTTGCCTTCTTATTTGACTGATCACCCCAGCTATTCTTCTTCTCATTATTCACGACAGTCAACTATTTAACCACTATTTTATATATTTTAACTTAAGATATGAATTATAGTCGGATAATAGGTCATGAAATACACTTAGATGACTTAAAACAACTTATGTTTATTCCATTTTTTCAAAACGTTTCGATCCCTGTTTTTTAACATAAATAATGGGATCCTCTTCAGTCTTTTAATTGAGCATCGATACTCCAATCAATCAGTAGTTTAATGTCCTTGTGGCAGTACTTTTGGATCTATCAGCGTGCTGCCCGGGTTGGAGTATCGATGCTCAGTTGAAAAACTGAAGAAGATCCCATTATTTATGTTAAAAAACAGGGATTGAAACGTTTTTGAAAAAATGGAATAATCAGAAGTTGTTATAAGTCATCTGAGTGTATTTTATGACCTATTATCCGACTATAATTCATATCTTAAGTTATTATATATATATATATATATATATATATATATATATATATATATATATATATATATATATATAAATATTTTTTTAACTCTACTATTATTCTTAGGGGACCCAGAATAAAATTATTTTTCATTCATTCATTTCATTCATTCAGTGGCTGATTGCAATCTATAGACTAGGCGATGAGGTCACCGCATCCCTACGTCAGAATTATAAAAACCAAAACCCTATAATTTTTTTTATTCTGAACTTTGTCATTGTGCAAAGCTTCAAAGTAAAAAATGTAGCTACTTACTTTTTATGACGATTAGGTTCCTTCTTCCAAATAAAAATATTGATTAGTTCAGAAGTATAAAACCTCTGCATCTCCTAATATGAAGGTTCCTTAAAACAAATTTCACTTACTAAAAACAATACAATTATTTTTTAGGATTAATGAAGTCTTATTGACAATTTTCTTTTATGATATTACATTTAAGTATTGTTTCATATTTTCTATCAAAATTAAGCATTAAGTTATCTCTAATCTTTTTCTAAACTTTAACATGTTTAAACTTAATTTAAAATGAACATTTCAATATATGTAATGAAATAGATTCAGCGACTGCACTCACTGTGGATACTGGTATAGCTTCTTCTTAAACAAGGTTTTTCCTCCAGATTTGTATTGCTTTGTGAAACAATTTACTTTTTAATTATATTAGCCACTCTTATGAATGAGAATACCTTTTTAATGAGAATTAAATTTTATATTTTTGTTAAATAAAATTTTTAATTGATACGCAGAATATTTTTTTCAAATAAAAATTGGAGGTTCTTAAAACAAGTTCTGTATAGAGATCATGTATATATGTAAGTTTGATATAAAAAGATTTGACTGTACATATTCAAATTTTTCATTCAAGATTTTTATTTAAAAGTTCTAAAGAACAATCAATGAAGAGTAATTTTCTTTTTTAAATAACGGCTTATGCAAAAAAGAGTTTATTTCAAAATGATTTTAAAAAAATGTTTAAAAGACAAAATTAGTTCCAATTTAGAAAAAAAAAATCTACAAATCACAATCCACAATATTGGTAAAGTAGAACTGAGAAAGTAGGAAGGTATCGTGTTTAGCAGATTTACACATCATACTGGATTCCTTTCCTCCATTCGCCATCTTATCTCCTCCTTGCTAAATGGGGACCTTTTTTATCATTTCGAAAAATCAATCTTAATCTTTTATACTTTATCTTTTCCTTGAATTTTATTGCACCTCAAATTTACACAAGTTTTTCTATGCAAGTTTTTTTTACCCTCATTCAAATTCTTGTTAGTGAATGTGAATGGTAGAATATACTCTGGAACCCTTAGACATGTTAAACCATAGTAACAGTGTTCATCAGTTGCACCTTGCAGGTTTATTATTACTATTATTTATTTCTCTCAGATTTCTTAAGTAAATATTCCAGAAAAAAACAATCAAAGAAATGTAGATGCTTTAACTAATTAAAATTTTTTTTTTTTTACAAGTATCTACTTTTTGAGCTAAATTTGTGTTTCACTAATCAATGCTAGTCTTCCCTCAATCAATAAAATCCAATCTTCTCTTTCCCGTGCTTCTAAAATTCCATGGGTGTAATTATGGGAGTCATTATTACTTTGTTTAGTTTATAAAGTGATTTTAGCTCTTTATGTATTTAGTTATTATCATTAATACTATTGTATTATAAAAAAGTGAAAGTAAAAAATGCTTATATCAAATCTCAATGAAATTAAATATGTTGTTTATACAGATCATTGCCTGAAATAGATGGATTGAGTAAAGAAACTGTTTTGGCTTCATGGATGGCAAAATTTGACTGTATTTTTAAAGGTAATAAATTTATTTTAAGTGTTACATTTAAATATTATTGGTATTGTTTCTATTAACAATCATTTTTATATGAAACATTTTTCATGCTGTAAAATATTTAGCATATCTTTTTCTTAGAATTGTCTGTTTATGGTGAACTGATTCTTCTGTGAAATCTTTAGATAGCTGTAGGATCTCAGATTCGGAATATTAGTAGGTTATATCTCATACCTTGTATATCCTTTGAGGATTGTTTGAAAACTTTCCAATGAGAAAGACATTTTCACTTCAAATTCTATAGTTACTATAATTAATTAATAAATAGAGTTAATTCATTTTCCTCAAATTTCTCTGCTTGATTTTCTTGTGAGTGTACTCTTTTTGTAGTGATGCTTTCATTTAAACTTATAAGCTGTTTAAAAATCTGTAAAATTATAAAATTAAAAAACAAAAGACCTTTAAGATAAAAGTAAATCTTAGGAAATTGACAAATGAATAATTAAAGGAATAGACTATGGTGTAGCTCCTATGGGTCTGAGATACTATGTTCTTTGTAGACTATAATATTCTAGCTGCAACAGTCTTCTATGATGTTGATGCCGCAGAAACTTTTGGAAGTGGTTAAGATTTGTTGGATCCAAATTTACACCAACTTCCAATAAATACTCAATTTTCACTTAAATACAATGGCTGGATTTGTACACATTAATAATAGTCTGGAGGTGTACTGCACTATGCAACTAATTAAGCATGACTCATTATAAGAAAATAGTTCACTTGGTCCATTGCTATCCGTTGTCCATTTTGTTTTAGAAGAGAAATTGGTTCGGGATTGCAGTCATTAAAAATAAATTACATTGATTTTCTTTGTGCTAACATTTTGGCCTAAGTTTCAAACTTTCATCAGGGCTAAGCAAAGGCAAGATAAAAAATAAATACTGAGAAAAATAATAGACAGAAATAATTATAATATGCAGGTAAAATAGTATAAGTAAAATAATATGTAGGTAGTTAAACTCAACATTAATAATTATATATTTATTAATATATATTTAATAATTATAAAGTCTATATTTGTTATAATATTTATTAATATTAAGTTTAACTACCTACATATTCTTTTACCTACATATTATAATTATTCTGTCTACTATTTCTCTCAATATTTATTTGTTAACTTGTCTTTGCTTAGCCCTGAGTAAAGCCAGATATTTAGGCTGAAATGTCGGCACAAAAAAAATTAATATGATTTATTTTTACTCCGTACTTCCTATGAGTGCAATCCCCAACCAACTTCTCTCCCAACAAATTCTTATAGTCAACAATTATCCACACCATTATAATCCTTAGATTTTTCAATGGTGATGCATTTTCTTGAGTTAAAAATTTTTTTGTTTGTAAATTTGACCATTTTTCTGCATTTTCTGCTTGCAGCTTGTCCAATTATAAATAGTATGCTCCTGAAATAGTTTTTCCTTTTTTTATTTATTTTTTTTATTAAAATGTTGGCCCAGGGCACGTTGACCCGTATTGGGTCCATTGTGCGGCAATTTCAATTAATCGTTTTAATCAAAACATTATTTTAGTCGCTTCCGCGTATCTAAGTAGACTGGTTGGATTGACCGTCTCATATCTACTTAGGAGATCCATTCGTTCCTCCCCAAATACTACCAGTCTCAGCCTTGTGAATCTATCACATCTACACACGATGTGAAAGGCTGTTTCATTCTCCTCCTGACAGAATCTGCATAGCGGATTCGTCATTACTCGGAGATTGAACATATGGTAATTTAGCTTACAAGTGACCTGTATAGATTGCTGTCAACTTTTTAAGGGCTGCTCTGTCCATACACCGTAGCAGTTTGCTTCTTTTTTCACATGTACCTTTAAGGAACAGCTTCGAATGCCGCTGTTTCTTGTTAGTCCAGTAATTATTAAATTTGTTCCCATATATCTCCCTGATCCTACTCTTGGCAGTGCTAAGGTTGATTCCACAGACAGGCTCGGGAGTTACAGGAATGGTACCTGAGCCCAATCTGGCTAGTTAATCAGCCTCCTCGTTGCCTGGTGTGCCCGAGTGACCGGGCACCCACTCCAATGCAACTCCATTGTGTTCAGATAGTTCGTTAAGTGCTGTGTTGCATTCCTTAACGACCTTTAAGTATACATAGTAATTGTTAATAGCACCTATTGCTGCCTGACTGTCGGTATAGATAGTACTCTTTTTCCCAGTTACATTGCTTCGCAGTAGGTTAGTTTTTCCTTTATTAATATTATTGATTAGGACAACTTCATGACTATCCCGGAAAACAGTCACTGTCACTTTCTCAGCCAAAGGAGCACCCCTTTTTTTTTTTTAAAGGACTCTTTTTATTTTGTCTCAACTATGTCAACATATTGTTGAAAATGTTTATTCAACCAGATTTGTAATTTAGAATGAGAAAACACAGTACTCAGATTGTGGTCAGTTTACTGGAGCCTAAATCTTGATTCAGTAGATGACAAACATGCTCATTGCCTCTGCTATTTGTCTAACATTAATTCGACAGTTGTCTGGTGCCATTTGATGAACTTGAGTAGTGTGGTTGCAGTAGTCTTTCTGTTTAAAATATTATATTGTGAAATCGACTTTTTCTGGTATTGTAATGTTTTTCTTTTCCTTTTAAGGATTTTTAACCTCTACACTTATCAACTTTTTAAAGCATTTGTTAAAGTTTGTTTGTATGATTCTATGAGTTTGACGATACTAAGTTTAATAATCAGCATTATCGTTCAGATGGAAGTAATGAATATTTTTCATAAATTTTATTAGTAATGCTTTGGTTGAATAATGGAGTCAATTAAGATGAGGTTGATTGATTAATTGACTAAAGTGTGTACTTTTGACCGAAGAAAGTTAATTCTTGTTTTGTTTATGTTCCAGTTACTGATGAAGATTCAAAAAGACCTTCACGAATGCAACAACAAATATTGAATAGTGAAGCTATTTTATCTAAGGATCAGCTTTATGACATGTTTCAACAAATTTTAGGAATAAAGAAATTTGAACATCAACTTCTTTTTAATGCACTGCAGGTAATTAGTTATCATTAGGCTAACAGGCATTATTTTTAATATAACTGAACAGAAAATAATGAAAACTGAAATATATAATATACTGTCACCAATTCCTGATCAACAAATCATATTACACTGGATATTGTTTATAATGACCTTGAAGGGACCAAGTAAACTACTTTGTTATAGCCAGTCATTGTTATAAAAGCATATTGGTTGTAACAATCAATATATTTATAACTAATCTCAGGTGTTTATAACAGCTCATGGTTGTTATACCTATGCAGTTAAAAATAAAGTTTAAGAAAAATTAAGTTTGGAAATGTAATGTTAAATTTTCAATTATTTTTTACATTTTCATTTATATAAAATTCCAGCTCAAAATTTCTTTTTTATCTCCTCTCTTCATTTAATCACGTTTTGATTGCATTGTCTTAATTAACAAATGTTTAATAACATTAATGGTCTGAACAAAACTGAGGTAATGGAGGTGGATCATCTGGGTTTTTTTTTGTTCTCTCTTTGTCATCAGCCTTTTCTGAATTTTTCACTTAATTCTGAAAATTTTAAGAGCTGCCCCACTCGATCATCTAGTCTATTTCTATGTAGTCTCATAAGGTGTCTTCTGAAATGGTGGGTGGCAGTTGATAATTGTTGAAGAGATTGAGTCCAGTGTGAAAATTTGGGTTCCATTTTTTACTTCCACTTACCTTTATATATAGTAAGAGAAAGTATTGCAATAATGAAAATGTTTAAATCTGAGTCTTTAACAGAAATACATGTTTTGAAGTCTCCTGTCTGGTTTTTAATATGATAAAGGTCTTATTCTCATTTATGTTCTCTAAAAATTCTTAAATGCCTAATTTTCCACCTTTTTTTCTCCCAAAAGTACCTATAATTTTTTTTATTTGAAATAATTAACCATTTCACATTTTTATTTATTAAATATAAAATATGAAAGAATTTAATCATTAACTAAAGGAGAGATTAGGGAACAAACTGAGAATTGTAGTAATAGAGGGACAGAAAAAACCCAAGCACACCCGAGCTTGACCGAAGGTTAGAATAGGTTTCCCTACGTAACACATGCTTAATATAATGTGGGCCACAATAATGTTATATACATAACATATGAGGTTTTCATAAATGATAGCTTTAGTATTACTTAATATTTAATTGTTCTTATCTGACAAAGAATATTTTGTGGGCATTTAATTATTTATTATAATCTAATAAATAATTAAAATATACAGCCGTAAAAGGAAATAGTGTAGTATGAAATACAACTTAATTAAGCCTGAAATTATCCAAAAATGTGATGTTTAGATCAAGTTGGAATGGAATAATTGATTTACTATAAAAGTTATATTTACACAAAGGTTTTAAGATTATTGAGAAACGACTGTTGCTATGACCAATCAGCTGTAACTGTAAAGGAGGTTGTTACATCCATTTAAAACAATTTTAAAATAGCTTACCACCAGATCTTAAGTTTATATAGCCTATACATTATTACAACTGATGTAATTATAAACTATATACAGTGTAATTATTATTTTTAATCTCAACTCAATTATGCAGCAAGCTGCCATCTGGATTATATAATTTCTTATAACCATTGATTGTAGCCCCTTTGTTCTCTTTAATGTCACCAATCACCCTTAGTTGACAGTTGATACGAGCTTCTTCTGTCCTTCCCTCCACTTTTAGGTCTATATAAGTTCTACCTCAAATCATTAAAATTCTCACTAAAGGTCAAGAGCACCTTCTTCTCATCAGTTGTGTTTTCTAAATCTGGTTCCATAGTTATTAGTTCCTGTACTTATATCTTTCTGTTCTCTCATTAACTTCCCTTTAGACTTCAAGAGATTGAGTGAAATTGAATTTTAACTGTCTATTGACTGTTTTATTCAATGATGAAACACTCTTATTGTATTTGATCCAATAAAGGATTGGGATGAGCCTTACTAATCATCCTGGTGTTAAAAGATTTATTACTCCTAATGATCCTTTCTCTGTTGTGATACATCAGTACCTATAATATATTTAAATTAAATTTAATGTGTGATCACTGAGTCTTTGACTTTTATGTTCTTAGTTGGATTCTGCTGATGAGCAAGCTGCAGCTATCCGAAGAGAGTTAGATGGTAGGATGCAGAAAGTTGCTGAAATGGAAAAGGTAGATATACTGATTTCAATACTCTTTAAGAGAATATACAAGAATATATTTTATTTGACTTGGTTTTCATTTACCTTTTGACACTCATACTGAAATCGATGAGGTACATAAAAAATAAATGCTTTTTTTGTTCAGTTTAATAAATGTTTAGGATTTTGAAAAATATTTCATTTTTACTGCATGAGTTATGTTATATTTTCATATAAAATAGTGGATATATATAGTCATCATTTTTACTTCAATACTTTAATTTATCTGATATGGAATAGGTGGCTATAGGTGTACACTAGTTTTAATAGAAATTTGAATAGTTTTAAGAGTTAATTAGTGAAACTAAAAAACTGCTATTGTGTTTGTTAATATTTTTTTACATTAACTATTATAAACATGTAGGGCCTGTATGAAAGTCATTTGCTTGAAGCCCCATATGTATATATATATATATATATATATACAAGTTAAGCATCGGCGGACTTTAACAATAAAAAAAAAGAAAGAAAGGAAAGGGGTTGAGATGCAACACTCACGGCTTCTGAATAGACACTGCTTTATTCATTCAGTAATCCTTCTTAAATACATTTCTCATGTTTATTTACATCCAGGATGGTATTAAGGCTGATATCGCCAGTCTCCGGTCTTTATCTCCCCCCCACCAGTTTACGAATAGGATTTTCGGAAACTTAGATATTCCTAGATCGGAGTCAACGGTTATCAGCCTTAACACCTTACAGTTGTTCTTAACAGTATATACTTGAAAGAAACTAAAACTCACTCCCACTCCGAGAAATACAATAATAATAATAATAATAAACACAGAAATTAAAACACTTGCCTCCAAGAACAGAACTCTTAATAACCTAAAAAAAAATAATACAACTTCCTCTCGTGTATTGCTCTAATTATATTTACACATAAAAAGAAATTACACCATATTTATATTTTGACAGCAAAAAAAAAAACATATTTCTTATATACAGCGGTGAGGGTACTACGAATCCGTTGGTCTATGTTCCGGTTCTATTATTGGGAGCTTCAATTGTGCAATGTGAACAGTTCTCCTCTTTCTAGGTTCATTGACGCTTTCGATAGTTAGCAGATTATGCTCCCTAATAGCAACCACTCTGAATGGACCCTCGTACCGTAACAATTGTTTCCCTCTGTTGGTTCCTACTCTACGGTACACTATTGTCCCGATCTTTAGGTCACCCATTTAGTCACGTACGTGAACATTTTGCCTCTCTACCCGCTTCTCCTTTTCCCGCTTAATTTTCCCCGCTACTTTTCCCCACGCCTTTTCTACCTCTACCCTATTACTCTGGATTTGCTCGACTAACGGTTCGTTGATCGTTGTTTCCCCGCAATCACGCCTTGGCCTGCGCATCCCGAATAGTACTTCCACGGGCGAAAATCCCGTGACGGACTGAATCGAGTGGTTATAGGCTGTTACCGCGTCCTTCATTGCAACATCCTAGAGAGCCAGTCTGCCACCACGTTTTCCTTTCTCGACTTATACACCACCTCTATATTGTATTGGCTAAGGACTTCCTTCCATCTCGTGACCCTAGCTGAGGTTTCCTTGAGTTTCCCTACCCACTGAAGGGGTTTGTGGTCGGTGTGGACTCGAAACTTCCTCCCAAATACGTATGGCCTGAAATGGTCGATAGCCCACACTATCGCGAGTAGCTCCCTCTCCAAAGCGCTGTATCGCGATTCCGCACCCGTAAGCCGACGGCTCGCGTATGCTATCGGTCGTTCACCCTCGCTTCCTCCCTGGGACAAAACGGCCCCTAACGCGTATTCGCTCGCATCGGTGGTTATATTAAATTGCTTCTCAAAATCCGGGAACGCCAACACAGGCTCTGTCTGCAACCTATTCATGCATTTCCGGATATTGTTCTCCATCTCTGGTGTCACCACAACCTTCGCGCCTTTCTTCAGCAAATTGTTGATAGGTACCAAATACTCTGCCATCTCAGGTACGAATCTCCGGTAATAGTTCAGCGTCCCGAGAAGCCTACGAATCCCCTTAACGTCCCGTGGTACCGCCATCCGTGTGATTGCCTCCACCTTTGCCGCATCCGGTCTGACCCTCTCGCTAGAGATAGTGTGGCCTAAAAAATTGATCCGCGTTTGTTCCAGCAGGGACTTCTCGCTTGACAATTTCAGCCCGAATTGCCGGAGCCTTTCGAATACTGACCTCAGATGCCCCACGTGTTCGGTTTCCGTTCTACTAAAAATCAGCAGGTCATCCATGTATACCTGACATACCGAGTCATCGATACCCCTCAAAAATTCGTCCATCAGACGCTGAAACGTTATGGGCGCATTCTTCAGACCAAACGGCATTCTGGTGAATTCATAATGCCCCCTTTCAAATGTAAACGCTGTTTTGTGTTGGTCCTCCGGGTGCATCCGTATTTGGTGATATCCCGCCTTGAGGTCCAACGTGCTAAAGACCACGGCCCCACTCAACCTATCGAGTATATCTTCGAATCTGGGGATCGGGTACTTCTCATCTACCGTGTTATCGTTCAATTTACGATAGTCTACTACCACCCTGTATTTTTCCTTATTATCCCCCGGCGCTGCCTTCTTTTTCACCGCCCACAGGGGACTATTGAATGGTGAGGTGCTATCAACTATGATCCCTTGTTCCTTTAGACTGTCTAACTCCTCCCGAATATGCTGCCTCAGCGCCTGCGGGTATCTTCTTTCTTTCACGTAAGTTACCCTATCCTGCTTCAGTGGGATTTCATGCACCGTCCTCCCTGTTACCCCCAATACCTCACCCTCCCTGAAGAAAATATCCCCAAACTCCTCCTGTAGCAACTTTCTCCAGTCCTCCACTCGGTTCACCACTCCTATCCGCACCCTTCTTTCTCTCGCGACCCCTATACATCCGAACTTACTCTTTCCCAGCCTAATACTCCAGGCTCCTCTACGGTTTCTAATGCTCGCCCCTACCTGCCCTAACCAATCGCACCCTACTATGACCTGGTATTCCCGAGTCATGTTTTCTTCTACGTGTACCTTCAGTTCGCCCTCTTTTTCTGCCCACCGATCAAGCCTAATTGTCGCTTCTCCCTCTACACTACAGGGACCACCCAGAGTGATTAGCTGGCAGTCGCATTTTTGTATCCGGAGTACCCTCTCGCTCCCGCACACTTTCCCTAACGCCCCTCTGGTCATAATAGTGCTCGAGCTCCCGGTGTCCACGAGGCACTTTACTCCCCCGTCTACCTCGATATTTGGCAACCAGCATGGCTTACCTCGAATATTGTTGCATGTTGCTGTGCGGTCGCCTCTCTGCTGCCACACTCCTCAGATGCCGCCCCGCTTCCTCCTTACCGCCGCCGCTCGTCGCTGCTCGGTCCGTTGGCTGCTCCTGCCTCCTTCGCCTCCACTGCTGCCTGGTTCGTCCGTCTCTGTTCCCGAAGTTCCCGACTCCTTGGTTGCCTCCTTTGAAGATCTGTCCTTCCGCTGCATCCTAGCCCGTCTCGTCAACTTTTGCATGTTTATCTCCATCGGCTCGTCTTGAGGTCTTTCTCTTCTCCGAAATATGTATGGGCACTGCCTCGCAATATGCCCTTCGGTCCCGCACTCGAAACATCTAGTGCGCGGACATTGTGCTACTAAATGTCCTGGCTTTCCACACCCATGACATTTTCTATCCTCCCTGCGGGGTCCATTCCTCGGAATCGCCTGTCCGGATCTTTTTTCGCCCGTCATGACCTTTTCTCCGCTCGGTTGTCTCGTTTCCCTCTTCTTCCAACCCATCGGGGCTGTCCGGGGTCGTCTGTCATTCACCCGGATCCACCCTGGTTCTTCCACGTCCATCCGAGTCTCTTCCTCTCTTGCGCTTAGGTCGATCATTTCCTGGGCACACTCGAGGAATGATCTCTCTCTGGGCAATCCGTCTCTCCTCCCCGTTTCCTTAGCCAGCTGGACCTTGAGTATCGTCGACAGGAACTCCATCCTGGCTTCGACCTCTCCCACACTCATTGTTTCGCGCATTTTCTCAGTTATGCGGTTGTACTTCGCCACTAGTACCCCCGCATACTGTCCCCTTGTCTGTCTTTGGGACCGGCGCTCTCTAAACATTTGGAAGATGTCTTCCTCTGGCGTCCATCTGCCTCCACCGAAAGCCTTCTTCAACCGCTCCTTGATCACCGGCCATGGTGTCTCCTCATCCGCCTGAATTTGGTTCAGGATGTTCCTCCTTACGCGGCACACAAGAGCTGCTTTCAAGGCTTCCGCGTCCCCTAGGTTCAGCAGGTCCTCCGCCACCTTTACCTCTATTCTTGACATGAGGCGGTCTTCGCCTTTCAGGAAATGATTAAGCTCCCCTACCTCGCCACCGAAGCGTTCCAAGTCCGCAATGGCTCTCCGTAAGTCCTGCGTGCTCGCCGCTCTTATTTTCATCCATTCTAGCGCGTTAGCGTGCGCTTCTGCCAATGTGTCTGCCAATATATATATATATACTGATTTCTTTATTATCAAGTATGCACATTAAAAAAATACATTAGAGTTAGAAGTCGTGGAGGGAATGATGCAAGCCCCACTCCAGCGCCTCAGCCCAGTTGTCTCCTGGCCATTGGCCAGAATTACATCGGTCTGTCGGTTCCGGAAAGCTCTAGTGGTAACATGTATACAGTGATTAGAAAAGCATAGATCAGATGAAGACTATCTTCAATTGAGAAAGCAGTATAAGTTTGTAACTACTATAAAGACAGTCCTAATAACCACTACATTATACATTATTTTATACTAATAGATAATATACATTTTAATTTTATTTTTTATTTCATTCATAGGTGTGTTATTTATTAAATAGAATATTATATGTATTTATGTTGTTTATTTGATGCTTAACATTCACAGTTCATGAACAAGTTAATCCCTCACCATCCATTAAATTTACAATAACATAAAAATTTTAATTCAATAGTTTTTAGTTAATCCATTTTTTAATAAAATCACAACAATATATATATATATATATATATATATATATATATATATATATATATATACACTGACAGGCCAAAAATCCCACCCACTTGATTTTTTTGTTTTCATCTAAAAATATTTCTGCTTTGGATTGGTCTATTGTTTTTAATGAATAAATAGGTAATCTTTTTGTTTGTTTTCAATTAGGAATGTTAATGTAGAGGACAATAACCTTTAATCCTTAATTCAATGAAATGATTCTAGATTCCAATGTTTACTTTCTATGGAGTCAAAATGTTTATTCAGTATCATTAATTCAGTGCCTTTTCTTGCAGCACATTTCTTAGTCTCCGGCTTTTAATTTTTTCAATATTAAGTTTTAAAATGCCTCTTAGTGCTGAGGATGTTGCGCGTGGTGTGGCACTTATTGATGATGGACGTTCCATTAGATATGCAGATAATGCCATCGGAGTTCCATATGAAACTTTACGAGACGCCGTCAGGCATTTTCGGGAAACTGGTTCTTATAATAGAAGGCCCGGTTCTGGATGACCTAGGGTAACAGAACCACGGGATGACCGGTTTTTGACTTTGAGAATTTTATGAAACCGGCACCTTACCATTGTTCAAGGGATTCATCAGCTCGAAGAAGTTCGAGGTGTGCAAATTTCTGAACGTACCGCTCTGAGAAGATTAAATGAGTGTGGATTAATGACTTTTCGTCCAGTAAGAGGACCAGAGTTGACCAGAATTCACAGAGTAACACAGCTGGCTTTTGCTCGAGAACACAGCCATTGGACTATGGACGAATGGAGTGCTGTACTTTTTACAGACGAGTCAAGATTCGCTCTTCGATCTCCAGACGGGAGCCAACCTTTCCAACGTGGTTCTTTAATGGTGTGGGCTGGGATTTCAATGGAGCACCACACAGAATTGGTTGTTGTTCGTGGAGGGTCTTTGACGACCATTCGCTAAGTAGATGAGATTTTGGAACCTCATGTGTTGCCTATCCTCAACAAAATCGTTCTATTCTAATGCACGATAATGCACGCCCACATGTTGCCCGCATAGTGCAGACATTCCTTCAACAGAACAATATTGAGGTTTTAGCCTGGCCAGAACGTTCTCCAGATTTGAACCCCATTGAGCATTTATGGGATAACCTCGGAAGACGAATAAGAACGCGTGCAACACTTCCTGATACACTGCAGGACCTTGAAAGGGCTCTTCGGGAGGAATGGGCTATCCTCCAGCAAAGGGACATTTCCTGACTGGTGGAAAGTATGCCGAGGCGTCTTCAAGAAGTAGTGAAGGCAAGAGGAGGAAATACGCGCTACTAAACGATGATGTAATTAATTTCTTTTAGAATAATAATGGTTCGTTTTTCAATTTTTTTTCTCTAATCTTTCTTACCCAATCACATTTTGATTATTAGAGGTAAAAAAGATTATAAAATTCCATAAATACTAAGTATTATCTACAAATACCATGTATTATATACAAATACAACTTTTTTTTACAAGTGGGTGAAATATTTTTAGATAAAAACATGAAAAAATCAAGTGAGTAGAATTTTTTGCTTGTCAGTGTATATATATATTTATATACCCTTCAATCTTGACCAGTTATATACATCTGTTAATTATTCATACCCTATTACATTATTATATATATAACCATATTTAATGGTTATATATATAACCTAACCAAGGTACTCCAGGTTGGGGATTGGGCATAGGCTAATAACCCTATCTCGGAAAAAAAACTCCTAATTACGAAATCTAAACCAAGCCTCGAAAGTCAGGCTGTCTAAATATGGTAATGACCTTGGCTTTGATTCACGGACTATACATTGCATCTTGGAATGTACGTAGTTTAAACAGACCAGGAGCCGCAAAAACTGTAGTCAAGAAACTAAAAAGGTATAACGTACTGGTAACAGCCATTCAAGAGGTAAGTTGGCCAGATGGCGAAACCATTATTATTATTGGTTGGCTTAAATACCACGACCCTTGAAGGATCTATTGTGCGCTATTTATGTAGTTTGTTTTATTCTTAAAACATATTTATAGGCTTTTTGGATAGATAGTCTCAAAGCTACTGTGGCGATCCATCCATTCTTCCCCAAATAGCTCCAGTCTAAGCCTTGTAAATCTATCACATCGACAGACGTTGTGAAAGGCTGTTTCGTTCTCCTCCCTCACTCGGAGATTGAACATGTGATAGTTTAACTTACAGTGGCCTGTATAGATCACTGTAGGCTTTTTAAGAGCTGCTCTGCCCATACTCAGTAGCAGTTTATTTCTTTTATCACATGGAACTTTAAGGAACAGCTTCAAATGTGCATTGTTTCTTCTCAGTCCAGTGTTGTTTAAATATGTTACCATATCATATATCTCCCTAATCCTATTTTTATATTATACTGTCAGACTGATTCCACTGACAGGTTCAGGAATTATGGGAATAGTATCTGAGCCTAACCTGGCTTGTTTGTTACATAGAATGCCCGAGTGACCAGGTACCCACTCTATTGCTACTTTATTAAGCTCAGTCAGGTTGTTAAGTGCTATACTGCATTCTTTCACAACCTTTGAGTATACATAACAATTATTTAGAGCACCTATTGCTGCCTGATTGTCAGTATAGATTGTAATCTTTTTCTCAGTCACATTGCTTCACAGTAGGTTTTGAGCGCAATGGCAAATTGCTAGTATTTCAGATTGAAATACCAAAGCGTATTTGCCAAGAGGTATCGAGTCTTTTCCTTTGTTATCTTTATGATAGATGCATGCTCCTCAACTATAGGCTGTTAGAGAGTCATCTGTATAACAATTGATACCATTTTTTGGTTTGTGTTGTCTGCTGGTGTCTATCTCGACCCCATATTTGTAGTCCAGATACTCACATCTTTGTCATCAGAAGATAAACATAGATAAATACTTGACCTATTATTATATATAATCAGGATGAGAATGTCTGATGATATCTGACCCACGATTCCATGAAACTAAAAAATTACTTTGAAAAAGAACAGTGAATCACAATAATTTCCCTTGTAATAACATCTTACATTTTACCCATCTCTGATTATCATTTTCTTGATAAGTAATATTATTCATTTAATCGGTGTTGTCGACTGTGTTTATCATTATCTGATTATTTATTGAATTCTTCTAAATCTCTCCCAATTTAATCTTATAAAACTTTTTCAGAATAGAAAATTGATGCCCAAATTTGTTTTAAAAGAAATGGAATCCTTGTACATTGAAGAATTGAAAACTTCTATAAATCTGTTGATGGTTAATCTTGAATCCTTGCCTGTCTCAAAAGGATCAATTGATTCAAAGTATGGTTTACAAAAACTGAAGCGTTATAATCACAGGTATTACTGATTATATCATTATTTAGAATCCACTCAATGACTGAGAATTTAAAAGATTATTGTAACAGTTTCAATTATTGTTTAAGTTTGTTTGTTATCACCTGAACTGATCTTACTCCTAGAAAAAAGAAAATTATTTATTATGTGGTTTAAACCACTTTCTCTATTTGATTTATTTTTTTATTTGAAATTTATTATAAGTAATTATTATATAATTCACTTTGGTCATTTACGTTCTTAGGTCTCAGGGTTCTTTGGCAAAATTAGAAGGTGATTCAGCTGATAATGACACCCAGCTTACAAAACTTGATGTTGTGCTCACATTCCAACTGGAGGTAATCTATTAGAATGTTATATCATAGTGGTGTTTATCTAATTTTGTTGTAATTTGTCTCAATGAATGTATTACATTAGTGAGTAATATTTTGTTACTTATACCATTTTATAATATCACTTCGTTCAAGGCGGTACTTGTGCTGTTTATTGTCAGACACTTTTAGCAGGATATTGGTCATTCTCTTGTAGACAATATGAAGGTATTGGATGTTCTGTAATTAATATACTTGTACATGTAGCGCTTTTTTAGGATAGAGCAGATGACCCTATGTTCCAAGCATCTGGTATCCTTTTTTGCTCCTCTATTGTATGGATTATTAGTTGTTGTTGTTGTTTAGGGCTTAAAGGCTAAAACCCTGAGGTCATCAATGCCTAAATGAATTAGTAGTAATAGTTTGGCTCTTAGCTCTTCTCTTCTATCTTTGAACAGCTATGATAGTACGTTATCTATCTCTGAAACATTTTTTGTTTTTAGTATTTTGATAGCTATTTCCACATCCAGTAATTCTGGTATTTCAATCTGTTGTGAGTCGAGGTCCTCAGTGGGATCTATGTCTTCTTCGTTTATGGGTTCCTCTTGATGCTTCACTAAGAGAAGTCAACCCTGCTAGATTTATAAAACTACCTAAAAAACAGGCAACTTAAAATGGGAGGATGCTGAAGAAAATAGATGTATATGAGGAAGAAGAAGACCTGAAGTATTGTAATAACACTTTTTTCATCTTTGAAAAAAAAATTAAATGTTTAGATAAAAGATTAGGCTTGTTACTATTTCTTCACAGCTTTGAGTCTTGCACTTATTTCATGAGCTCTTCCAGGACTTATTTCCTTAGTTTTTTATATCAAAGGTCTGCTTTGTGCCTTTATAGCCTAAGAGGCTGACTATGGTTTCAATGGAAAATGTATTTCAGAAGTTTATTAATTTTAAAATTTTATATTTACTTTTTCAGTATTATTATATACTAAATTCTGGTACCTCTCTCTACCCTTTTGTATTACCATATTGCCATGAAAAAAAAAATCCTAATGAAACATTTTTGAAAAATGATAATTCCCTGAGTGTTTACATTTGCTGGCATAACAAGTACAGGTTTTCAGATTTCTATATCAATGGATATAAGGATGACATATCTTAGATCCCCTAGATATGTTGAAGCTTGAAATATTACACAGTGTGGAGGAATAATCAGCCAACCAACAACTATTTGAGAATATACTCAAATCGTTTTGTGCACTCAAAATTTAGTAGTAGGTTTTTGATCTTCAGAATAATTATATTTTGTGTTCTATGCACTAATTCTTAGTTCCTCAAGTTTCTTTGTAAATAGAAGTTCACTTATCCCTTCTCGAGATTAATTTGTTAATCCGGAAATATTGAAAAAATGAATTTGATATAATCTTATATAAATAAAATATTAATCGTTTGCTGTTTTTACTATATACTATACTATACTTTTACTATTCTTTCATATGTTTTCTATATTTTAGGTGGTGGTAATGGAAGTCAAAGGATTGAAATCTCTAGCTCCTAGTAGAATAGTGTATTGTACAATGGAAGTTGAAGGTGGTGAAAAATTACAAACTGATCAAGCAGAGGCTTCTAAACCAATGTAAGTGGCATCCTTTAATTAATATGTACTTAGTCTAACCTCATTTAGAATGAAATATAGATCTTCTATAATTACATATGTTGACTTGATTAATTCTTGATGAAATTAAATGATTAAAAAGCAAAATTAAATTCTTTTAATTACAACTTTTTTTATTTGAGGGTATTTTCTTTATCAATTGAAGTTTCTCTCAGCCAAATACCTCCTTCAGTTGGTCCCTCCACTTTTCCCTGTCCATCGCTTCTTCCTCCTCCATCAGCTCTCGGCCTGCCGTACTTTCTGCCACAACATCTCTCAACCTGACATGAGGCTTTCCTCTCCTTCTCCTACCCTTGGCCTCCCACTCAAATGCCATTTGGGGATGTTTTTCGCTATTCATTCTTTTCACATGTCCATACCACTTCAATTTTTTTATAATACTTGATAGTTGACTGTTTTATACTTTAGAGGAAGGAGATGGTCTGGGTTAGCAGTTATAAAAAGACTAAAATATTGAAAAAAATATGGGTGATACATATTCAGGACGCAGTCATTTTTAAATTTTTTTTATTTTTGCCAACGTTTCAACCCAAACATGTATCTCTTCAGGGCTGAAAATGTTTTTTAAAATTACAATCAGAGATATAATAGTATACGACCGCTAATTATGAATAATAAACTATAGTGATTGATGGCACATGAATCTTAACTAATATTGTAATACACATATTAAAATTAAATATTAAAATAGTTATACAAACTAAAAATAAAAAATATAAAAAATAATGTATATAATCCACAAATTTGTAATATTTTCTCTTACTAACCGTGGTTTAAGCATTGACATAAAGGGGGTGTGAAGGCAGCGAGAAAAAAATATAATAATAAATAAAATAAAAACAGAGTTAATTAATTATAAATGTATACATACACATACAAGATAGAATTAAGAAATTATAGATAAAAGTACAATGTGAATAAAAAATAAAAATGAAAGACCGCACATAGAAGTCAAATGTAAATATAAAAATAAAAATGAGAGATCATACATTGCAGAACTAATTTAAAAGCATAAAAAAGAAAATAATTTAAATAATTAGAATTAGTTGTATGTATTGTAAGAAAATGACATTTAAATACAAGATAAAATTGAGAAATTATAGATAAAATTACAATAAATACAAAATAAAAACGGATGATTGTACATAGATGTAGAATGCAAATATAAAAATAAAAATGAGAGATCATACATTGCAGAACTAATTTAAAAGTATAAAAAAGATAATAATTTAAATAATTAGAATTAGTTGTATATATTGTAAGAAAATGACATTTAAATACAAGATAAATATTGAGAAATTATAGATAAAATTACAATAAATACAAAATAAAAACGGATGATTGTACATAGATGTAGAATGCAAATATAAAAATAAAATGAGAGATCATACAATACAGAAATACTTAAAAATTGTAGAACTGTCAAATTAAATTAATCAATAAAAAATTGAAAATAGATTAAAAAAAAATTAAATAAATAAGCATACTAGAGAAGCTATTTTTGACTTAGTATATTTAATATGTGTCTATATGTTAAAGAAATACAGTTATCCACTTTATGGTTAACCAGATTCTGATCCATGTGGATGTGGGTGGATTCAGAAATGAGTGTTTTTCCATGGTTAGGGACCATGGCAAGAATGGAGGTTTTTTCAAAATCAAATGAATTGTTGAAGGTCAAGGCATGTTCTGATAGTTCGGAGGTGGAAATTTCAGACACCATCCAAATCCACATGGAACAGAATCTGGTTAATCATATTCATTTATTATTATATATTTTTTAAATTATTTGTAAGTCATATTACAACGGTAGAACGAAGAAGAAACAGAACTAACTTTCTCGCTCCACCCGGAATGGTCTTTCTCGTTTGATTACATTGCGTTTTCGTTCCAATCTGAGATTTCATTCTAGCATCTGTTTGGAATGATTATGGTATGGATTAAAGTGTCTACGTGTGTTATTATTTTTAGTTTAAATTAGTAAGTTTTAAATTAATTAAATTGTGTATATAATAAAAAAAGAAAATTAGAAAACAGAAATGGATTATTATTCATTAATATTTTCTGTAACTTGGAGTCAGGAAATATTTAAGGAAAATTAATTCAAACATATGAATTTTACCAACCAAAAAATAGTTTTATTAAAAAAATAAATAATAAAACAAACAAATCTATAATATAAAATTTAGAATGAATTAAAAGATTCATTGGTGTGAAACCGTAGTGGCCACTATACTCAACATTTCTTTGGCAATAGTGTGCAAATTAGGGTAGATGTTCTGCAGACCGAACCACCACTTAATAGGATTCTCGTTGTCGTATAAAATATCTTTTTATAAGTAATTGTTTAAGTCAATCATTGCCTTTGATTCAGGTGTCCCATTTTGAGAAAGTTGCTCTCTATCACTCATCAATGTTCCTAAAACTTCCAGTTTTTTTTCCCTTCATTTTTCTGTGCTCCTCTTCGTTATCTTCATTTTCCTCTGCCTCAATGATTTTTCAGTCGTTTTAAATAGTTTAAGTTTTATGCTTATTTGCATCATTATTCTCTAAAGTGTTATTCGGAACGATGATGGAACAGAACTGGAATAAATTCCAGTGGTGGAAAATTCTGTTCCGACCTGTAGTCGGAATCGCCCATTCCTAATCAGAACTGAATCACTCAACTGATTCTCTGTCAACATATATTTTGTTTTATGATAATTAATATTCAGGCCCCATTTTTCATAATGTTTGGTTAATTTTCTCAACATATTCCCAAAATAAAATTCATGCTGTGCTATTACCACTTGGTAATCAGCAAATAATAGGTGACATAAATGTCGGTCATTCATTGGAATGTCCATTTTGCCACATTTTTGTGTCCAATTTTTTAAGCAATTATCAATATATATTTGATATTGATATATAGTTAAATAAAGTAGGGGACATGTAGCATCTCTGAAGAAGAATTTTACTTTATTCTTTTACTTTTTACAAACTTCATGAAGCAGTTAAAGAGATTCACTAAGTAATTTTACCTAGACTTTTTATTAGTAAAATTGTGTACTTAAATTATCCTTCCCAACCTTAGCTACTTACGCATTTGATCATGCCAAAATGAGTATACCCGAATGAATGAGCATCAATGCACTGTGGTTGCTCAGATGAATACAGGGAAAGCTAAATTGGTCTGCATGGCTCCTCAATCTCAGTATTTCAAAGTGAGCACATGCTCAGTGGGTATAGGTCAGTATGTTGATTTTAGTGAGATTGGTTCTATCAGTTTGACCCAACTGTCCCCTTTTCAACAAATCCTCTCTTGTTGAAACATCTGTCTGGTTTTTATTGTTATTATTATTTTCCTATTATTTAATTCTCTTAATTTTGAAAAAAAAACTGGTGCTGGTCAATTTTCAGTTCACCATTGCATATTCTATATAATATGCAATGGTGAACTGAATAAATAATAAATACAACTGTTGCATAGATCCAGTACAGAGCTCATACTGAATGGGTTCTTTTCTCAATCTGCAAAAGATCAGTGGTTCAGTGTTCATGCAGGACATTGTTTGAACCTCTTCCTATTTTGGAAGGTACCACAAATGCTGGGTCTCATAAAAATCCATTGTCCTTATCTCAGATTTTCAAATAATTCAAATAATTTAAGATAATTCTAAGTTGAAGATTGGTTAAAATATCAAAAGACATGGAGGAGATTTTCACTGATTAAGAACAGAAGCCGGACTGATAATTTAATGTTTTTATTCCTTGCTTTTATCCTATGACTAACCCAAAACTAAGTTTGGTCTCAGGGGCCTATCTATTGGACTAATACTGTGCTACTACAAGTGTAAAAAACTAGTAAAGTTTGGGGATCAAACATGAAATATAACTTCTGAAGTCTTAGAAATTGATCACCAAAAAATAATGCATAAAGTATTAATTTGAATTCTCAAAGCTCTATATTAACGAATGAGCAAAGCCAATATAGAAGACATTACTATTTTTGATGCCAATTAGCCAGCCAGGTTAATCAGGATTTTTATGTTGAAGTACTTTTCTTATTCAATCCATAGTTTTCTGATTAATATTTTTAATTATTTATTTACAGCAGTGGTGTGTAATCAGCCCTTCCCAAACTCAGTCAATAAATTTTGTTTGATCATGAAAGAAGTATTTTAAAATGAAAAATAAATGTTAATTTTAATAGATACAAACTCTGGATTGTTTTTATGTACTTCATTTTTTTCAAAATATTCACAATGTTTTGAATTCTATTATAGGTGGGATACACAAGGTGATTTTACCACAACTCACCCACTTCCTGGAGTGAAAGTAAAACTATATACTGAAAATCCTGGAATGCTAGCTCTGGAAGATAAGGAGTTAGGAAAAGTCATACTTCATCCCACACCATTGTCTTCAAAGGTTATATTTTTCAAAATTTTATTAATTCACATACACATATATATATATGGATTATAATGAAATATAGCATTTCCAAGTCAATTTCAACCTTTTCCAAATCAAATTCAACCTTTTCCAAGTCAAATTAAACCTTTTCCATTTCAAATTCAACCTTTTCCAAGTCAAATTCAACCTTTTCCATTTCAAATTCAACTTTCGAATTTTCGTCAATTTTCGATTTTTTTCGAAATGAAGGCCACTTACTATATTATCGAAGGCATAGCTTTTGAAAAAAAAAAAAAAAAAAATTTGATAACGCGGTTGCATATCCATTTGTTTTAACATTTTAGATTTTTTCAGTGTGATATTTCTATGTCATTTCCAAGTCGAATTCAACCTTTTCCAAGTCAAATTCAACCTTTTCCAGATCAAATTAAACTTTTTCCAAGTCAAATTCAACCATTTCCATTTCAAATTAAACCTTTTCCAATTCAAATGCAATCGTTTTCATTTCAAATTAATGTTTTAATTTTTTGTAAATCTTATATTTTTTTTTTAATAATGGCTATCCCCTCCCCCCCTCCAATATGAAAGTCTATTATTATGCTCTCCTAAGTAGAATTTTCACTTACGGATATCGATTTATTGTACCTAGTCGGATTTATTAGGGACTAGTATTATGCTGTCCTGTACCTAGTTTTGAAAATAACCCCCATTGTAAGATTAAGTGACTGCGTTTCGAATAATTTAAGTTTTTTTGTTTTATTCGATATAAGGGCGTATTTTTATGTTTCCCGATCAGTAAATTTGGAAAATGACATCCATTTTATGTTTACGCCACTGTGTTTTGACTTATTTTAGTTTTTAGAATTTATCCAATATAAAGGTCTACTTTTATGTTTCTGGAGCCGTAGATTTTGAAAACGACCTCCATTTTAAGATTAGGCCACCGCGTTTCGACATATTTCAGTTTTTCGGATATTTTTCATATGAGGGTGTATTTTTAGGTTTCCGGAGCTGTAGATTTTGAAAATGGCCTCCATTTTAAGATTAGGCCACCGCGTTTCGACTTATTTGAGTTTTTCGGATTTTTTTCATATGAGGGTGTATTCTTATGTTTCCGGAGCCGTAGATTTTGAAAACGACCTCCATTTTAAGATTAGGCCACCGCATTTCGATTTCTTTAAGTGTTTCGAATTTTTATCATAAAAGAGTGTATTCTTATGTTTCCGGAGTCGTAGATTTTGAAAATGACCTCCATTTTAAGATTACGCCACTGCGTTTCGGCTTGTTCAAGTTTTTCGTATTTATCCAATTTAAAGGTCTACTTTTATGATGCCGGAGCCTTAGTTTTTAAAATGACTTACATTTTAAGATTAGGCCACTGTGTTTCTGTTTTTTTAAGTGTTTTTGATTTTTCCTTCGAATAAAAAACCAAATACGAAGGATTAATTTATTTTTCAATAAATAAATAAAAATATCTAATCAAAATAAATAAAATATGTATTGTCTCATTTTTAATTGAATTTTAGTCATCTTTTTTAATGTTGTGGTCTCCTGTCACAAAATTATAAGATTTCGAACAATTAGCTGAAAAATCTGAATACGGAAGGTTAAATTTATTACCTGCTGCTTTTCTGCTTTTTAGTTTGTTTTCTGTGGTTAATTTAACTTTAGCTTCATAATATTTATTTATTTATTCGTACTTGAAAACATATTGATGAAACTTTGTATTGAAAAAATCCAAAATGAAGCCTAATTATTCGAGATGCAGCGGCTTAATCATAAAATGGAGCTTAAATATTAGATAAATTTAAATATTAAAGATTAGAAAAATTTCAATACGTCTCGGGTAACATATAAGTAGATCCTTATACCGAAAAAGTAAAAAAAAAAAACTTTTATAATCCAAAACACAGTGGCATAAACTTGAAATTGGGTCATTTACAAAACCATAAAATTAGACCTTTATACTTGTTAAATTCTAAAAACTTAAACAAGCTGAAATGCAGTGGCGTAATCCTAAAATAGAGGCCATTTTCAGAATCTACGGTTCCGAAAACATAAAAGTAGACCTTTAAATTGGATAAATTCGAAAAACTTAAATAAGTCAAAATGCAATGGCGTAATCATGAAATGGAGGTTATTTTCAAAATCTACGGCTCAAGAAACATAAAAGTAGACCTTAATATTGGATAAATTCGAAAAACTTAAATAAGTCAAAACGCAGCTGCGTAATCATAAAATGGAGGTCATTTTCAAAATCTACAGCTCCAGAAACATAAAAATACACCCTCATATGAAAAATATCCGAAAAACTCAAATAAGTCGAAAAGCGGTGGCCTAATCTTAAAATGGAGGTCATTTTCAAAATCTACAGCTCCGGAAACATAAAAATACACCCTCATATGAAAAATATCCGAAAAACTCAAATAAGTCGAAACGCGGTGTCCTAATCTTAAAATGGAGGTCGTTTTCAAAATCTACAGCTCCGGAAACATAAAAATACACCCTCATAAAAAAAATATCCGAAAAACTCAAATAAGTCGAAACGCGGTGGCCTAATCTTAAAATGGAAGTCGTTTTCAAAATCTACGGCTCCAGAAACATAAAAGTAGACCTTTATATTGGATAAATTCTTAAAATTTAAATAAATCAAAACACAGTGGCGTAAACATAAAATGGATGTCATTTTCAAAATTTACTGATCGGGAAACATAAAAATACACCCTTATATTGAATAATTCAAAAAAACTTAAATAATTCGAAACTCAGTCACGTAATCTTAAAAAGGAGGTTATTTTCAAAAACTACTCATACGATAACCCACACATCGAAAAAGTAAAGATAATTAAATAAATAAAAAAAGGTTGAATTTGAAATGGAAAAGGTTTAATTTGAAATGGAAAAGGTTGAATTTGACTTGGAAAAAGTTTAATTTGATTTGGAAAAGGTTGAATTTGAAATGGAAAAGGTTGAAATTGACTTGGAAATGCTATATAAAGAATTCCTATTATTATTTTTATATCTTTCTCAAAAAAGGATTTTCTTTGAAAATGGGGAGTATCAACTCCCAACTAATTCATGTAATTTTTTTTTTGTTATTTTATTGTATATTTAGGAAGCTGCTTATTATACTTGCAGTGTTCCATAGAATTGGGGATATTTGGATAACCCTGCCAATCGATAGTTTTAATGATGTTGACAGCTATGGATGCTATCAACATATATTTTTATTGTTCCTTATTAATGCATTGTGGTCAGGACACATAAAGAAAAAAGTTTCAAAAACTTCAAGGTCGAACACAAGTTGAGATGCAGCTTGGTAAGCGGATGTAACAAAGGAAGCAGGATTAAACACAGAAAATTGGAATTAAATCAACTGTGAGGAATGATCCTGCGGGTATGAGCAAAAGTTGAGTTGCAGTTCTTAACTACGGACCTTTGTATATTTATTCAAATGGGTGGGATTATTACATTTTTTATCGATTCATTATTAAGTTCCGAGTATGATTCTGATGATGTTGAAGATGGAATTATTAATTTATTACTACATAAAAAAAAATCAAAAAAGTAGTTACTTGAATAAACTAAAGACGCATGGACAATTTTCTGATGATAAATATAAAAATTATTATAGAGTAACCAGAAAACAGTTCTATGAATTCATTTAGAGATCTATAGCTCCTGGATACGACAACGTTAATGAATGCCAGTAAAGAACTAGGGCTCGAAATAAACACGGATAAGACAAAATATATGGTTAGCTGCAAAAATGGTGATATTACTGGTGATATCGATATAGATGGTAATATGTTTGAACAGGTGGAGAAGTTTAGGCATCTAGGGTCTACAATAACTAGAAAAACAAAATTGAAGAAGAGATTAAGGTTAGACTGAAGGTGGGAAATGCTTGTTATTTTTCTGTGAGAAAACTACTTAGCTCGCACCTCTTGTTCCGCAACTTAAAAACTAGAATCTATAAAACCATTATCTTACCTACAGTTCTTTATGGTTGTGAAACGTGGCCGCTTACATTAAGGAATGAGCAGCCTCTTCAGGTTTTTGAAAATAAAGTATTGTGTAGAATATTTGGACCGAAGAAGGATGAATTAACCGGAAAAATCAGACAGTTACACAACGCCGAATTGCGTAAACTATATCTGTGTAATATAATTGAGGTGATTTCATCCCGGCGTATGAAATGGGCCTGTAAAATTGTTGGGCTTAGTAACGAGAGAATTCCTAAAAGGTTAATATTTGCCTTACCGAATGGTAAACGTCCGAGGGGTAGACCGGTAGACCGAAGCGAAGGTGGGAAGATTGTATTAAAGCCGATCTGAAGGGACTAGGTTTGGACAGCGAACGGTGGAGGGAGGTGTGTAATGAGCGATTGGTGGTGTCGGCATCGAACCTCCCGGTTCGCTAAGCCTTTTATTATTATTATTATTATTATAGCTCCTGAAGGTTGTAATCCATCCAGCTGTGTCGGATGTGAAGAAAAAGTTGCTGTATTTTTGAAGTGAGGAAAATACAGTTTATTCTTCTAATTGCTTCAATTAATTTTTCTTCCATCATTTACTCCACTTGTCACTTGAGAAAAACTGTGACAGAGATAGAAATGTCTGCAGCTCACAGAGGTTGATCTTAATCTGGTGTGTCCTCACCCTGTGGCTCAATGTTCGCTGTTTCTTCCTATTCAACGTTTCATTGAATCTCACCGTGAGTGGAATCACATCCGCTCACCAAGCTGCGGCTCAACTTGCGCCCTGAAGGGAGCCTAAGTGGAGCACAGGCCATATAGTTATTCGGTTTTTATAGATGGATAGTAAATGAAGCTATATGGACTGTTAACTATGGTGATTTTAACTTATTTAATTTTATCTGGGACAATGTCCCATGTGCAATCTTGAATATAAACTGAAAGTTCATGTTTTTTTTTACCCCTACCTCGCCATTTCTGGCATATGGGAGGGAGGAGGACTGTTCTAGAGGTGCAACCAAATCTATTCTAACTGGAGTGGAAATATCGCGATTCTGGGTCTGCCACAAAATAAATTTCAACCCACCAAAGCTGGAACCTGGGCTGAACTGAAAGTTTATATGTATTATCAGGATGTTCAGGCTACCACCCTGGAAGAGACTGCTAGTATTTTCACTGAGCAATTCAACAAAATGGAAGAGACTATTAACCCAGGACAGCAAAAATGATGATTTTGTGAGATATAATAATAATAATCTTTTATTTATTCTGGGTCGAATCCCTTTAGAATAATTAACAAGGACAGAAATGTGGGCTTTTGAGACTCAGATATACATTCATGTATTTACGAAGTTAAATAATAGATATAATAAAGGGGGGAAAAAAGTTATTTTCTAGATTAAATCGATTAAGAAAAAAATAAAATAAATGAAAGAACAATGAGATGAAAATATCCTAATAATATATATACATATTTACAGAAGTTTCTATTTACAATATTAGAGGGACTGGATGGAAATAATGTGATTGAATAGGCGAGATTTAAAAGTAGGGAGAGTATTGGAGCGACAGATGTTGGGAGGGATGGAGTTCCATAGAATCGCCATGGAAGTGTTCATGACAATAGCCTTCACACTCCTGCGAATCATGGTGTCGATGCTGTCAAGTATGGCAGGACACAGCTTTGTGAGGGGCGCAGTTTGGAGAGGGTGAGTAAGACCCGGGAACAGATATTGATTGAAAATGTTTAGCTTCTGCTCCGGCTTAAGCAAGGATGAGGTTACCAGTTTATTAAGATTTTCATTCAATTTGGTCACCGAATCTTCGTTGAACTAAAGCTCTCCTGAGAATGTATATCCTAAATACTTGATTGTATCTCCATTCTGCAATGTTTGGATGTACTCTCTGTTCTCAAGGGAGAGCATTGCTGTTTCCAGCTCTCCTTTATTTAGAACGATGCCCACGTTTTTTTGAGGATTTATGGCCAAACCAATTTCCTCAAACGTCCTCTGTACTCTGCCGATCACTCTGTCTGGAGCTCCCTAGTTACTCGCCGACACGGCATGGTCATCCACCTGTAAGGACCACACAACACAACCTTGGTCATTTTTTAACTTGTATCCAAATTTTTTAGAAAATTCTTCATCGCACAGGTCACAATAAAGATGGTCGATGGCCAGGTTGAAGAGCAACAATGACAAGGGACCACCTTGGGGTACTCCGCGCAGCACTTTAATTTGGCTAGTTGTGTGAACTCCGTTACTAATCTTGATTGTGTTCGTGCAGAGGAGAGCTGATATGACATGTTTAAGGTCCAGCGACACACCTCTTCTTTTGCTTCTAAGGAGCTCATGATATGATTGTGACCAACATTGTCAAAAGCACTGACAACGTCAAGGAAGACTACCGCACAATCATTTTTCATAATTGTTGCATCTTTTAATATAGCGTGGATAATCCTTGTGTTGACGTGCGTTCCCGGGAGGCCTTTTATAAAGCGTCTCTGATTCCTATGGAATGTGATATGCTTTCTTAATTCATGGTCCAGAACCTTCTCTATGATTTGGCACACAATAGAATAAATGGTGTTAGGTCTCCAGGTAGAGATATTGTTTATATCACCTTTGCCCTTATATATTAATATTGTGCGCCCTTGTCGAAGTGGTTCTGGGACATGGGCCACCATCAGTATAACATTTATAAAATCTTGTAAACGCATAATTGAGTTCCGAATAAATTATATCAAGTGAAGTGATAGGAGAAAACTGAAATACTGATATTAATATTTAAAAACCATCTTGGGATATAATTGTATAAATATTTATAATTATTTGTTAGAATATGGATAAAGTAAGCTGAAATATCCACGAGTCTTTGTTTGGTGTTTATTCAGCAGACATATCAACAGTTGTTTTTAACTCTGTAATAGATTTTATTATAGAATTATTTTCCTAGAGGAAATTGCTTAATGTTCACTGTTTCCTGTTTGTTGTAAATTCTTTTTATTTGCTAATGAATTTAGCATATTAATATATTTAGAGTCAGCACTAACTCTATGGGAATTATCTGTGATTAGGGGGAGGTTATTGTTGGTGTTTTACGTGGAGGCTCCCCAAGGTTCATGCTTCCATAATCAGTAAGGCTGTCGTTCAGCCTCTGACATTTCAAATTATCTGTATTATATTTTAACAAATGTTTTTTTTCCTGGATTTCTTATAATGGCTGTATTGTAATGATAAGAATTATTTTCGGCAAAATCATTATTTACCGATAATGAGGAAAATCTAGTGCAGAAAATATATATATTCTTTGTCTGTTGGAAGGTGAGCTTTTTTGCTATGTATGCATTTAATCGCGTTCACACATGCCTCTGCGGTATGGTTATTAGAACCACATTTCATGTATTTTCCTTTTCCTCTACATTTTTCTTTTGTGTGACCATACCTTAAACATTTTTCACAAAGGAGGAGCTTAAAGATATATGGGTAAACATTCCTTGGGGCTAAATTAAGAGCAATATTGTCAGGAAGTCTTCAAGCATGAAAAACAATTTGGATGGTACCCGTAGTTGTAGTAGTAATACTGCCATCGGAATTATCAATTTTTCTATTGAAATATCGAGTTTTAACTATTTTTTTTAGTTGATTGAATTTCTCTGAGAGTTTTTTCTTCAGAGAGAGATGGGTGTATGTCCTTAATTAATCCATATTTTAAAATATAAGAATTCAGTATAAATGCTTTTAGTTTATTGGATTCAAGTAATTGATTTTCTAAAAATCGGTTGGCATATTCATAAGTTTTAAAGTTAATTTCAATTCGTTGTCTATTTTTCTTTTTAACGAAAAAAATGGGAGAGTTATTCAGGCCTAGAGTTTTCCAATTTTCATGTCATGAAAGCATGCTATGTTTTCATTAGTAGATTTTTCACCTAAAACAATGACTGCAAGTATTTATGTTGATTTTTTTCATTTTGTACTACTGGTGTATTTAATGGTTTATCAGGGGGCTCAATCCCCTCCCATGATACTTCCCCTATACTTCCTATTCCTATACTTCCCCCATGATCACGAATAGGTAAGATATTAGTTGATAACTTTAAATAATGGGAAAATAATAGAAACTAAACAGATTAAGCTAACCTGAGTGTAGTTAGCCTTAGGCTTCAGAAATGTTGGCCTGCACTGTTCCACAGTCAACAACAGCTATTGTCAACAGATAAACCGGAATGTTAACACTACCACTGCTCGAGTAAGACTGGTGTATGTACTTACATGTACTTATTAACTTGTACATATATTGTTTATACCATGTTGTTTTCTACAAGACTACTGCATTCTTAAAGTTGCTTAATTTATTTATTTTTTACTATTGTTGTTATAAAAGTTAATTTTGACTAAGATAGAATATGTAAATCTTTATATATTACTTTACATTAGTTATTTTTACTTGGTGTTCATCTAATAGAGGAATTTATTTTTCATTTATAGCTTTTGTTCCTATCTTTTTTATTTATTTCTTTATTTTTTAACTAAACAGAGATTATTTTGTTCTATTTCTTATTTTTGTTGTTTATAGTTCTAAACATTTTTTATACAGCTTCATCAGTTTGTTTTGTATATTTTGTTGGTTTACTTAAGGTATTTTATTTATTTAATGTAACTCTTCTTATTTAATTTAGTTCTCTTGGCCAGAAGTATTCTTTTGTTGTGTAACATTTTGTTATTCTTAAGGGACTTTGTCCCATACTAAATTTATAAAAAAATAGCTTTGTGTATATTTTTTTTCATATTGTATACACAAATAAAGGTTATTATTAATATTATATATGACAATAAATGATTTATGGATTTTTTTTTTTCAAATGTTATTTCTTAATATCTGAGAGATATAGAGTAAAACAATAGTATAAGTTTGATATCAACTTAAACATTTCAGGCAATTTATCAATATTTTATAACTTTTAACTGTGATTTCTCAGAATGATGATATTGTCACTTATACCCTGTGGCTTCTCAGCTCCTCATATATGATTAGTATTTCTAAATTTTTTAAATACTTAATATTAGTTTTTCTTGTGTCATGGAAAAATGAATGTGTTTTGTTTATCTTATGTGTAAAATATGTCTATTGCTGCAAGAAAGGATTTTACCAAAAAGATTCGGCTGTCAATTAGTTAAAATATTAATTTGACTATGTAATTTATAATGATATTCAGTTATTTTATTATAGTTTAAAATTACATTAGTGTTGTTTTTCTCCCTCATTTACAAAACAAGTGTTATGTAGGTTCCTGAATGGCATAAGATGATAGTACCTAAAAACTGTGCTGATCAAGATTTAAGAATTAAGATTGCATGTCGTATGGACAAACCTCTAAATATGAAACATTGTGGGTAAGTTCATTTGCTTATCTTGTTCTTTATCAGTTGTTTGAATTATTGAAATTGGGAAGTTTTGTCAGTTTCAGAAAATATAATTCATATACTTGTCTTTTAGAAATTAAGTTTATGATTTTAACATTAAATAGATAACTTTATTTTTAAGGAGTAGTTAGTTGCAATATTAGTAATTAGTCACACACATAATACGTTGTTGTTTGGCGTGTTAGTGTGATACCATCATATTTTAAGAATTACCTATTGCCATAGAGGCAGAGGCTTTATATTTTTCCTGTAAAGTTACAGGCTCTGGAGTTGGTGGATACAGAAATAGTACTATACCCAGGAATGCTTAAGCCTTTGACAGTACCTTCAAGTATATAAAGTTCTTGAATAAGCATATCAATATCCTTAAAATAATCCAGCTACTAACACTCTTAATTTCCACATTTTGCCCTTGAGGCCCTCTCATTAATATCTCCTCAATCAGTACTCTCCCAGGAAAGAAAGCATCCTCTTTGGTGAATATTTGTGAGCTCCTGTCCATCACCAATTCAGAGAATCAAAGCCATTTCAATAACAATCCATGGAATTATTTTGTTAATCCAGAATCTAGAATGATCATCCAGGCAATCCAAACAATATTGGCCATCCATCCTGAAGGTTGCAACATAATGCAACACTGCAGAGGCCAGCAAAGCACTGGCGTGTCAGTAACTGGCAGCACCAGTAGAACAAATATTTTTGATTAACTGGTGTACTAGCAAATCCCTTCTCCGGGCAAAGTATGGCTAATCAATATAACAAATGATTAAAAATTTTAATACCTTTTTTTTAGGCTGATGAAAATTTATAGCTGAATACATTTTAGTTTAAGGAAAATTTTAATACAATGTTTTCTCTTTCATCACAGATATTTCTGTGATTACAGAGATGTGAAGTCCATTCAACTATGGATATTTATGATAAATTATACTATAATAAAGTGTTTTATTTTAATTATAAAATCCTTATAGTTAATCTATATGTATTTTTACTTCTACTATGTTTTTAATATATATAAATATATGTGTGTGTGTATATATATATATATATATATATATATATATATATATATATATATACATATATACATAATGAGGGAGTATTGTTATAATGGGAAATTTCGAAATAGAGTTTTCAGTGGAAAAACTCATTTTAAAGTTATCTGATTCTACTTAAGGATATCTCACAAATTGGTACAAAAGTGAATGTGTGCGTTGAGTGTCTGTGAATATGATGTTTGTCTGTGTATGTATTCAAGTGAACGATTCAACAACTTCCTAACAAAAGAAGAAAGTAAGTAATATTATTTTATGTTTATTTATTTTTTTACACGAACCGGCCAGCAAGGACCACACAAATATGATTTCCGTTTCCTCTTCACACCCTCAGCCTTCCTCTTATTCCAATACTCTCACATCCTCCTGGACTGTTCCTCTCGTTCTTCTTTAGTCCATTTTCTTCCTCGTCTCTCCCTCCCACCTACAAGAACCCCAACCCTTTTCAGTTTTTCCCTATAAAGCTCTCTATCCAAGCAATCTTTATCCGTGATTTTTAGCCTGTCTAGTTCCTCTTTTATTTGTTTTACATATCCTCCCATACTTTTATAGCTGCAAACTTTGTCAAAAATTTTCTTGTTCAGTCTTTCACTATTCATCCTGACCATGTGCCCGTAGAACCTCAGTCTTCTGGTCCTGACGACTGTTTCCAAATCTTCCAAATTTCTGTATATTTCTTTATTGGATTTTAGCCTGTATCCCTCTTGCGTTACCTTGGGTCCGTGAATCCTCCTCAGAATCTTCCTCTCAATCTTCAGGATTTTCTCTAGGCTCGGAAGGCTGACTGTTTCCATACCATATAATATTACAGGTCTTGCTATTGTACAATTATGCCTTATTTTTGCATTTGAGAACAAATTTTTCTTGTCAATTTACGTTTATTTATTTAAATTTGCTAACTTATAGTCCGTGGTACAGGCCCATTTTTATTAAATTATTAACATCCACCTAAAACTTTGTAAATGTCTTCATCTGATTGTAACCTACAAATATTTTATTTACAAAAATTCTTGGAATTGGGGCATTTTCAATCTGTAGATCGGCAAACTTTGTCTGTTTAATTAGGTACTGAAAACTCATAAATACCCATTTGCTTTTCACTTGAATTGCAAGATAATATTATCACAAACTTGGAGGACAAACAAGGTTGCCTACAAAAATATTGGTCTGTTTAGCGTCACCTCCACCCCGAATAAGTTAAAATAATGAGGTTATATAGGCTAAACGCCTCAATATTTTTGTAGGCTTCCTTTTTTTTTTCCGATTTTGTAATCATATTATCTTACGATTCAAGTGAAAAGCAAATGGGTATTTATGAGTTTTCAGTACCTAATTAAACAGACAAAGTTTGCCGATCTACAAATTGAAAATGCTCCAATTCTGAGAATTTTCATAAATAAAATATTTGTAGGTTATGATCACATGAAGCTATTTACGAAGTTTCAGGCGGATGTTAATAATTTAATAAAGAGGGGCCTGTACCATGAACTATTAGTTCTCAGATTTATTTATATTACTTAATATTGCATTTAATTTCTTTTAATTTCATTGTTTATTAGGTTTGTTTAATTATTTTATTATTATTTTGTCAGCATTTTGTTTATTACTTTAGTTACCGTTACTTTATAACATCCTATATAATTTTTATGTATCTTACATATCACATATTTTTCATTCATTAATTATTAATTTTATTTTTCACTACATACATATATTTTTGTAATTATTTTTATTAGATGTATAGATTGTATGTATGTATGTACTATATAGATCCTTTTTGGGTTGTTAAAAACTTGAAAGTTGATATTTATTGACATTTTATTTTTGGTTATATATTATGTTTTTGTGTGCAGGAACTTATATGCTATTGGAAAAGCTGTTTGGAAGAAGTGGAAAAAGAGATACTTTGTTCTTGTTCAAGTTTCACAGTATACTTTTGCTATGTGTACATATAAAGAAAAGAAATCAGAACCATCTGAAATGATGCAACTTGATGGCTATACTGTTGATTATATTGAGCCAGCTAGTGGTAATGTTTTTCTTTAACTATTAAATCTTAAATATAAATTTTTAGTTAAAAAAAAAAAAATACAATTTTTACTAACTATGCTGCAGTGTTAGGAATCGCCGAACTTATGAAATAAATTAATAAATCTAATTTATGCATGCGCAAATAACATCTTATAGAATTTTTGTATGGATAATTTCATAATTTCGGTCACATATATGTTACTGGATAATCATTGAGTCAAATCACGACTGAAGGCTGTTGAATAGTTTTTTTTTAATCTATAATTTTAAATGCATTCTTATCATTGTTTAATAAAAAAACTAATTACATGGCACAGGAAGAAAATGAAAAATGCAGTTTTCTCACTCCTGGTAATTTCACAAATAGTCACAACCCCATGTACTTATTTTTATTTATTATTGAATAATAATACTATCTGCCTCACACCTGGACAGTGAATATTAATGCTATAGGTATCCATTCATACAATACATATATACAAGAAAAAGATGTATAAATTGAATTCGCTTGATATTGAAAAATATAGCTTTCCGCACAGTTCAAGTTTATAGGTTTAGAGAGATTTCAGTTGTCTTGTAGATTAATAATTTGTTTTCAATTGAAAGATGAAATGCTCTGTTTAAATATATTTATAACTGGCCAAATTGTCAGTTAAGCTCTTATCTTTTAAGTCTTGTATTTGGGTTCCATATCAGTCTTTTACCTAAAAGGAAGCCAAGATATCGGACTGTGTCTGAGATCAGAAGTGAAATAGAGTTAAAAAGGATTGATGGATAGGATCTGCATCAGAGGGTGAAAGTTTCATACTTGCATTTGGATTTATTAACTTGTGCCAATTGTTGTACCACTTCTTAATCAGTGAGAGGTGTCTTTGTAGGTTCCAAAGTTGTAGGGATGCTATTTTGGGGTCTGAGTGAGATGTGAGGATGGTGGTATCGTCAATAAATGTTGCTAGGAAGGTATCGGAATTTAAAGGGATATCAGCACTGAAGAGAATATGGATAATGAAACCTATGATTTTGTGGGACTCTGGCTTCAAATAGATAACAATTGGAAAATTCTGAGTTGCTACAGCCCCAGAAGGAATAATTTTTGAAGTAGGATCTGAGGACAAAAATGTTTCCTATTAATACAAAAGTTTAAGATATAAATTAATAAACAAACATTTAGTTAACCTAAAATCTTAAGTAAATTAAATCTCTAAATAATAAGTTATCATATACTCAAAATTAATACTACGTTATAAATAAAAATAAAATAACATCTCTGACAGCAAAAGTTATTTCGAAATAAAAAAAAAAATGAATTCCTTCTACGAGTTCTGAAGATATAATTCTTATAACTATGTAAATAAAAGTAAATTAAATCTTAATTTGAACTCTTAAGCGAATTGTCTATTGAGACTTTAATTTAAAAGTAAATAAAAATGATGTGTTCAGATTCCAAATAAATGGAGCAATTTAAAAAAATAAATAAAAACCTGTACCACTAACAACCCATGAAGGGTCTTGGGTTCAGTACAATATAAGAAAGTACTGTTACATGGCCAACAGTTGTGCAGGAAGGTGACGGGCCAATATCACGCTCAACCGCCTGGCTTTCCCCTTAATTAATTATATAATCAAGGGTACCCACTTTATAGAGGCTGGGTTTGCCCCAGGAGGGTCTCCCAGCCCCAGGGTCAACCCACACTTGATGAACAATTACTAGTGATCTGTTAGATTGGAACCTGAGACCTTGAGCTCTGGAAGTCAATGCTCACCCACTGAGCTACCCCACTCCCTTTATAAATTTAAATAGTTCCTTCAATTTTTGAATATTCAACTTCTACAGTTATAATATTCTGCAACAATGATAATGTTATAAATAATATACAATATAATCCATAAAGAAAATTACACAACTGCTCTCCTTAAACACAATTGTTTTGTTATTACTCATATAAATGAAATTTTGAAAGAATCATTAAGCTAAGAGAATTATTACAATTTCATGTTTGTTATTGTAAAAAATACTAAGTCGAATATGCTAGAATAGCTGTTAGCTATGGAAATTCTCTTCTTTAAATTTACCTCAGAAATACTAACATTTCCTCTTAGTTCCTAACATACAAGATAACTTAAGTAATATTTGATTTTAAAGTAAAATCAATTTTACAGACATGTAAGCTATTATTAATTAATCTCAAAGAAAATACTTATCTTACCGTTTTCCTTTTTGTCGCACTGTTTAATCACCATAAATTTTATGACAAGATTTTGATTTGAATCCAGGTAGTTCAAATTTTTCTTAGGAACCAACAATTATATTTACTTCTTATAAGTGAACACGTTACCAACGCTCAGACCAACAAAAAAAAAGTAAATCAAACATGGCTAGTTCTTGGCCAAATAAAAGTGATATATTTAAAAGTAAAGTAACGGTATTGAGTGCTTAGTTGGTGGGTTTGGTGAGACGTACACTGGCTTATCGTATGCTTCCCTATCAAGCCTTTAATTTTCTCTATAGAGAGCAGCATCAGATGGACTAACTCCCAAGCAGAAAAAAATTGTTACACGTTCTTGAGGTAGGAAATAGTAATGGTGAGTGAAATCTGGAAAGGGTTAAAAGGTTTTATCATGGTTTCTGATACTGTTATTATGTTATAAAAATTTTCGGTACTTTTTGTTTAGGGGGCCGCTACTGACTGCTATCTGCCAATGTTTATAACCTGAACACTGATAACTCCCATAACGCAGTGATAAGCCTTCTCCTACTTCATATCTTTGTATTATTGTATTAAATTCGTATTATTGAAAGTGTAAACAGATACAAAAACAAATGTAATAACAAAAAAAATACTTTTATTTGACGACACATATATTAATGAAATAATAAAAAAACACTTTAAGAAGATATGTACATATAAAACATCAAAATGAAATAATAAAAAAACACATTTAAAAGAACATATTTACATAGAAAAGAAAAAATATAAAACAAAAATCTGTTTTATAAAAAGATAAAACATTCATCTGTTCTTGGCAAACTCCACCAAACATCCACTGCTGAGATAAAACTCTCCCCACATGATTTTTTCGTTTAGAAAAAAGACTTTCGTCTACTTCAACCACTTTGCCAGGTCCTCCAATTTTTTTTCTTGGCCTGTATAACATGTCATGGGCACAAACCTCTCTTAGACATTTGTTCCACGTTACCATAGCTCCGTAGGATAGTTTCAGCTGCTCTTTGTCCCACTTCATCGTTGTCAAGCTATGGGACCACCCATAAATCAATTTTAAAGCTGTTAAAAACGAAATCCTCGAGCCCTCCAACCATGTTCCTTTCCTTATTGAAAGTTTTGTGTCATAAGTCCTACGAAAGCATCTCCATTTGGCCTTCCTGGTTAACTTCATTCGATGACCTCGTTCACACAATTTCACGTCGGCAAGTACCCCAACATTTTGAAAATATTGAATTGCCTGTTCTTCTGAAGGCGGCAAATCCCATATTCTAAGAAGATCCATAATATGACGAAAATAAACGGAAAAAAATGAAAAATAAACACAAAGGGGCCACAAACTAAAAAAAAAATGTAAAATAAACACAAACGGGCCAAAAACTAAAAATAATGAAAAATAAACACAAACGGGCCATAAGTAAAGAATTTAATAAGTGAACGTAATAAGGGAATAACTGAAAACTAAACAATGCAATAACTCAAAGGTTTGGCGGGATAAGAAGAGGGAGGTTATGTGTGACGTGACGTTCGATAAGATAGATAAGAAGTGAGGTTTCAGTCCGGCCCGCTAGACACAAAGTACCAAATTTTCTAGGAAATATTTTTGGAATTCATTATTGTGGGCTATAAGAGATTGTGCATTAACATGGCAGTAGTTTAGGATGTTTTTCATGATTGAGGACTTGGGAAGTAGAATTGATATTATATAATAACTTGATATAGAATAATCAGTTATAACATATCAAGACAAATAACACAAACTAAGTATTGAAAATAAATTGATATACTCCAACTTATTTTAAATGAATTTTCTGTCAAGATTAATTAATAACATAGTACCAAATAAATATGACTTTGATTGAAATAAAAATAAATAAATTGAAAAATGCAACTTAACAAATAAAATTCCTTTTTGTTAATAATAATAACATAAAACAAAATAAATATGACTGATTGAATAAAAATAAATAAGTTGAAAAAGGCAACTTATCAAATAAAATGTTTTCTCGTTTGTACCTTAATAAAAAAATTAAATATTTACTAAGCTTAGGTAACTGATATGCAGGGTTCAGCTGTAAGCATCCAAGTTACTAGGCTTACTAATAATAACCACTGTGTAACCATCTGACTTTATTTTTATGGCTCACTCTACCTCCACTAAACCAGACATATTTAATATTTGCAGTAATCTTCTGACTGGTTAACTAAAAGAGATGTTTATTGGCGGGAGTTATTGCTTCACTAGAAACTACTTTATAATGTTAGAATAAAAGTTTTAAAAATAAAAGCTTTGTTATTTTTCTCTCTGTAGAAAATTGATTTTTATTTTCAAATGACATATCTTCAACACCATGTTAAAGTAACGAATGTGCAAAGTTAAACAGGCTCACATTCTTTATTTTAACATGGTGCCGACAATATCTATAGTTATGTTGATGATTATATATGCTCACATAAATAACTTTTTAAGAAAACTATAAAGATTGCTATGAAGTTAAAAAAACATGCTATTTCTCTTCCTTTTTTTTTTTTTTCAAAGAAATTGATGCCCAAATGTGACCAAAATTTTTAAATAACCCTTATAAATATGCAGTAGGTATAAATATATTATCAATTCTCCATTAATGAACTACCTAATCATTTGGTACTCAAATTATACTTTTTTTATTATAAATAATTTATGCATTCCATGGTAATTAATGCCTAATTATTAATGAATCATTTTTGGTATATTTTCATTTCTATCAAACATTTTACATTTAATATTTTTAATATT